TAATGAATCAGAACATTGTACAGAAAGCGGAAAATCTCTCTTGGTGTAAAATTAATGTAAAGAGGATAACGCTCAAAACATTTCGAAATCACGAATCAGTGGGTTGGAAGTGGAAGGAAGTATTAAGGGTAACAAAATATATTACACATCAATGCAAAACAGGCAACCTTCCTGACAGGAAAGAGAACACGGTTGCCTAACCCCAGGCGACATTATATAGGGGAAATGCAATTGTCTGAATTGTATTTCGTAAAAGTTATGTTTATTTAGAATTACATGAAACATTCAAATTTGACATGCAGTACAGTTTGATGAGCAGAGACTGGATATTTGTGTAATGATTTTTTGTCTTTCTACTTTCCGTCCTCAAAACATTAATCTTGGCGAAACGATGCCTTCCTAACACAATATCCTATTTTTTCGTTACATATTTTGCTACTTTCATAATAAAGTTTTTACTTTATGAATTTTTTGTTATACATATTTTTATAAAAAGAGATATTTTTAAAAAATCATAATTTTTTCCTATATTATTCTTGAGTTCTGTCGAATCAAGATGCGCTCCGTTATCACGCGGTCGGATGTTCTTACAGTCCAGCGCGCCTGCTTCAGTTATCTCAGTGGCGGGAAGTGCGCGTCAGCGACTGACATATTTTCGTCTTTAGGTATGAAAAGTATCACTGACGCCGAGTTTTCTGTTCTTTAACCTTAATTTGCGACAAACTTGGGCGGTCGCCGATGACAATGCTGCACGCTGCAGTGATTGTTTGCTGATCGTAGATAACGTCAGTTTGTACGAGAAGAAGAAAAGAAGTTATGAACTCTCCTATAAAGGGAAGAATTTTAATGTAAATACATATTTTTACTCGTTCAAGATATCCGCTTTCAATTTTTTAAACTTCTTTTTTTAAATATTTTGCTACTTTCCTGACTTTGCCTGGTATTCTGAAAGAACTAAAACATTTTTTTATTTCATATATTTTCTTGTATTTCACATTTTACATATTTTACGTATTACTTCATATTTTGTTACGTTTTAATGTATTTACTTGTCAAAACGGAGTATCTCGTATATAAGAGCTGGCAAATAAATGTTCCTGGAATTATCTTTTTATGAAACAAAGCAAAATAAAACCGCTTTTATGATCTCTGGATATTGAATTGTCAAACTTTGGTTACCTTCTGCTTCTCCAAAATTACGAACTTGAAAAGAAGGATGGACGGAAATTTGCGAAACAGAAGTAATCGCAACCACGTTTCACAGAGCCTTCGTCTCGACATCTGTCAAAGAGGTCTTAGTGGTCATTTTCTTTTTGAACTTTCAGCACTCCTGCTGAGAAGTATACACTTGTGGGTCTGAAATTTTACCCGGATAAATTGTAATACTTCTTTGTAAAGTGGTGTCATCAACAGATGATATTTCCACTAAATAGAGTTAAATTACAGACAACATTGGAGTAAGTATTGTTTACGGACGCATTCAATTCTGTAATCGTTCGTCCCGTAAGTTTAGTGTATATTATATCTCGCAATGAGACGGTGTTCATCGCCGCTGGCGCATGGGATTCGGCGCCAACCAACACGTCGGCTGTCGAATTATTTCCCCTTAGGACCCTCAGCGGAGCGCTCCAGCCGCGTCTAAGCTCCCATTATGCTTGGTAGTGCAATGCGTGTGCGTGTGCGAGAGAGAAAGAGAAAGAGAAAGAGAGAGAGAGAGGGGGGGGGAGGAGGGGAGGCAGGATGAGGAAAGGAAGATTGTGCGTGGTCTGTGGTCCGTTAGCTAGGGCATTCGCCTGGAATCAGGTAGTTTTTGCACAGCGAAGTGTTACAGCAATCCACAGCTAACTTGATATCAATAGTGGGTGAAGTCGAGAAAGAGGTTTTGCACAAACGCTTAGGTCAAAAGGGAAGAAGTTTCGAACTGAGGCGAAAGAGAGTGCGCTTCAATCCAGTAATGCCCCATCCTCTTGATTCGCCTTTGTTCGACTAGAGTTGCGCGTTATTATACAATTATGATGTTATTAAATAAATATAACGAATACTATATTCATAGAAAATTGTAAACACAGATTAATGCCACCAACTTCATGTTGTATCATGGGAATATACAGTTTGCAGCACAATCTGCCGTTAGGAACAAATTGGACACAGCGTAACCAAATTGATCGATTACCATGAGTCATCGCTCGCTAAATCCGGCGGAATAGCGGGTTCCGCTATCACCCGAGCTGGCGCATGTACCAATGCTCAAAGTCGATTACTGTTACGCTATGCCGTGCAAAAACTCCCTTCTTGATGATGATCATCCCTTGAGATGGTTTATTATGGCCTTTGTACCATCATAAAAGTAAATAGGATTACGTGAAAAGGAACACACGAACTTCGATATGGACGCAACAGAATATAAATACAAGAAACTCAAATAGGAAGTGACTGGCGTTAGAACCAGTGAAGAATAAAGTGTACAAGTTTTGTATTGGGGTGAGTAATTTCCGTATTTAGGAATATGCAAGAATGAATAGGAAACCGGACAGATTATTAAAGAATCAACAATATAATAAGTGTACGAGGTGACAGCCAATAGGAATAAGCTGTGGGCACGGCAAATGAACACAGCGCAGAAAGAAGCAAAGAGAGACGGAATTCACGAATTTCGGACAGGAAGAGACAGTTGAAAGACAGGTAATATGATATGCAGAAGGGAACTGCTCGGCCGTGTGACGATAGCGCCCTTTCTCGTACTAATAATTCGTAGGGAGTGGATTTTTAAAGACGGATGTAACGAAACGTCAGATTTAAATGATATCTTGGAACACGATCTAAGCAACAAGATGACGTGTGGCTTATAGATCTGGAAAGGAGCTCAACAAATATTTCATTGCAGTGGAAAACCAAAAGGAAAGGTTCATATACGAAGACAAACTCGTGTCAAATATAAACTTAATAATTAATAAATATAGTCATAAGAGATGTTGCATGACTCTAAGAAAGTAACAGATTCCGAGTTAATGATGAACTGTGTGATTGTTATTAAAATAGAATGAAAAACACGATTATATCGTATTATTATAGTTGTTATTTATGTTTATTCGTAGCGTCCACAGAAGAGTTGCGGGGTTGGGTATAATGTTTAATTGTTAACGCAATTTATACTATTTACCAAATATTAACGTATTTTTATTCAAGTAATTTAAAATTGATAAGGCCGTCGACCTACGTATTATAATTGTTTCTTAGAAGTAATGATAAATTTTAAAATAATAATAATAATAATAATAATAATAATAATAATAATAATAATAATAATAATAATATTTTAAAGTCTGAATGGCGACGTTTTGTGTTGGAAAATTTCTAACTGTTGGAAAGGCGGTTTAATTGTTAACTTTTATTTCAGATTTATTTTGTTATTTATTTCATGTTACATAGTACAAAAATATGTGCCTATAAAAATACAGGAACATATCATTTTCTACGTAATTTCTTTGAACTGGGCTAGCTTTTCGGATTTGCCACGTACTCTTGCCTGCAGCCATCGATCCCCTTCTCCAAGTATTTTTTTTCTTTTTTCTTTCTTCAGTTTTCTAAAAGTAGAATCTAAAACCTTCTTTAAAAATATTACAGAAAAGTAAAACTTCTTCCAATAAAGAAACTTTCTTTGAAAAATGTGTAGCCATTTTTTAAGAAAATGGCATTCAGGCGTTACTGTAAATGTGTAATTTTAAGCTCTTTTTCACCGAATTTATTTGACTTTTTGGAATCCAATATTGGAAGTAATTTGAAGCTCTTCAACTTACAAATTCAATAATGTAAACAAATTGCTGGAAATGTTCATATTAAAAGAATGGGAGATTAAAAAAAAAATGTTTTCTTTACTTGTTTTTAAAAAACAACAAAAGAATAAATTAAAATGAATTTTATATCATTTTTAAACGCGCAATTAACACTGTGTATGAAGAATTAGAAGAAAAAATTTGGCACCGGTTTTAGAAACTGGCATTTAAACGTTTGAGATCATTTTCACAGAAACCTTTTCAAGAAACTTTATTAGACATAATTTATTAAACATATTAAGCATAATTATTAATATAGCTCATAAATGCAATAATGTGAACGAATCACAGCTAATGTAAATATTAACAGCATGAGAAGCTAGTCAAAATAAATATGTTTTGTATTTTTTGGAAAATCAAAAGAATAGAGCAGATTGACATTTATGTCATCTTATAGAGTACATTTAGCACTATCTCTATCAAAAGTTCAAACCCCATGTACCCCATGACATTTGTCAACGCTGTTCTACATACGTCAGACATCGCCTTTTTACTTATTTATGTCAAAAACACTTGAAAGCTGTGTGTGACATGATATGAAGAGAAGTTAATTTGAAGTTACATTGCCTCCAACAATGGCATGTGTAAGGCATAGCAGCAGTCACTCCCTTAAGAACTACTTTGACATTTTTAACACCTTTTGCATCTCGCATTCATTAAAATACTTTTTCAACAACTTCACGTGACCTCCTTACGCAACTTGCCTAAACACCAGACACAATGCAAAAATCACAAACACAACAATAATCACTTAAACAAAACTTCAAACAAACCACATGCAAATGCTTTACTCTAGAAGGGAAACCCAACTGAAAGCTTACACTTCCCGGAGACGAAAAGTCATAATCAATGAATACACAACTGGAGTAGGGCTGTCAACATGTGCTGGGAAAGGATGTGCTTCTCGCTAAACCAACAAGTTGGATGAATGAACTCTTCCAGTAGCTCTGAGCCCTCAACCTTCAGCAACAATGCTAAAATAATTTGACAGTACTGACGAAGGTATTGCCTTGCCTTTGCTCTATGTCATGTCTTGTCTTGTAATAAAGTATTAGTTTATAAATTAAAATCTAAAGTTAGCAAGAAATATCCCAAATATAATGACAATTGTCGTCAATGTGATACACAGGAATTCAAAAAATATTGATGAAGAATTAAGAAAAGGCATTTTTTCTTGTAATAACTCATTTATTTGGTAGCAACACACTTAAATTAAAAGATCATGACACAGCAGGCGCCAGGGTAGGGTGCTATTCACAGGGGATCACACTTACATCAGTCTCACAAGGAACTAACCACAGTGAGGCAGTGTCATAACTCCGAATGGGATGCAGAATGAGTGTGCACTGCAAATGAAATCAAAAGAAAAAGATGTTAATAATATTAATTTATAGAATAGATATAATATTTTATACATGTTTAATAATTTTGAACCTTTCATTAACATTCAATAGAATTAATTTTCATTTGTTACTTGATATAATTGCTCAATTACTTGATTCTTGAATATTTCATATTTCCTACAAATGGGCCAGATATTTATCATGCAATGTTGGCGAACAATACAGAAAACCATTCTGGGTGACCCTACCATCCACATCATTGCTCCCTGTGGTTTTCGGTTCCTACCAGATTCCAACAGAAGACGAAAAAAACTAAACAACCTGAACACCTAAGCTAACAAAGATTCCTTGGGCAAGTATTTTTATGGTTATTGTAGTGTCATTATACAAATGGAACTTTTGGATTTTCATTATGGACATATACAGTTGGACTTCCATATATCAAAATTCTAAATAAATCAAATTATTTTTCCGTCCCTTGAAAATTATATTTAAAATAGTTTCAGTGGGTTAACAAGTGTGAACATGTGTGTGTGTATATATATATAAATAAAAACACTAATGTCAAGTTGCACCTATGATGCACGCCTTTCAACTGTTCACACATACATACATATATACATATATTTCAATATATATTTGGTCATGTATGTATGCAATACTAATTTCAAGTTATTATTCATAAACATGTGGTATGAATTATTAGAACATTTGTTCTAATAATTCTAATAGAACCTAACTTTACCAAATTGCTTAAGAGAATTTGTAAAAATTTCATAATTAATTCTATAAATTTTAGTTTTCTATAAATCGATTTCAAAGTTTCTATAAATTAATTATTGTCGAAGGAACTGTCAGATTCGATATGTATGGAGGTCTGACTGCACTTGTGAAAAACAAATAAAAATAAAATGCAAATTTGAAATAATTTAATATGAGAAATATAAGAATTTAGGGGGGACTGTAACATTTCACTCACCATCTGCTTGACTTGGTTGCAATGGCACAGGAACTTGACCTTCCATACCTTCTTCTGTATGTGTATGGTCAACCCGTTGCTGTAACTTTTTAATTTCAGCATCGTAATCCTTCCACTCTGGTAAAATTCGCATGGCTGCAGTCAGCTTTGCCTCTTTAGTCAATGGATTATTGCACTATAAAAGAAAAGAGTGTACATAGAATTACCAACTCTTTGTAACTATAGAGTAACAGGTGCAGTAAGATATTCCAAAAAATGTGAGAAGATAATATTAGTAATAATACAACATCAGGAATGGTAATAAAGTATTTGGGCACAGAAATGTTAAAAGTCAATCAGTTAACTTAAAAGAAAGAGACCTTTCAGTACACTTGTCTCTAACTATATTGATTTATAAAAACATCACAAAGATCTGGGAAAACACATCAGTTTGTACATAAATGAATGTACACAAGTAAATAACATATTGCCAATTTACTCTCCCCTTCAAAAATTAACAAGTATTTTTTGTAATGAAAGACAAATATCTTGACTAAGATCTTCACATAAAATATAAATCTCCACCAACTAGGCTAAATCTCCAAATGTACAATGATCCCACTGAAGGAGATATTCAGATAAGAAATCTCATTTTTGGGAAAATATAGTAATTGAATAAACAATGGCACATGTGCACAATGCATCATATCCTCAGTAATAAAACTTATTTAAAATAAAAAATACTTTGCAATCACCTAAGGTACCAGTTTGAATGATACACTTTTGGCATAACGACATTCAGAACATTAGGAAACTTGTATTGCTTTTCAGCTACTTGGCTAATGCACTGCGATACAAAAGTGATACTCATTATTATGATCTTCATATAAAAGTTTTTTTCATTAATACCATATTTACCCAAACATGGGGATAATTCCCTTGTTTTGAATGTCCCCCAAAAGTTTTATCTTTCTTTCACCCTCCTCCACTTTTATTGAATTCTTACTACTCAACTATATTAAAATTGAAAATTGTCTAATTGATTAGAAAATTTGTGTTGATGATGAAAATGTTAAATCTCTTTGCCTAAGCTATCATTATGGTCCTTAAAATCAGTATCATCAACATATGTCCTTAACATCATTACAACCATATTCATCTATTTGCAGTTTCTTTCTTTCTGGTCCTGCTCTGTTTTTTAAACCCCTCTGAAAGTTTTGCAGGTTGAATGTCCATACTTAGAATTTCATATGATGCCACCTAAGAACATTCCCTTCCAGCAAAGTTTCATCCTCTCAAGCACTTGTGCTTGGTTTCCGGTTTTTTAACAACTATTTACTTTAAATTCACATGATCAAGTTGTGCACTGTGAACTTGTGCATATCCACAAAACAAACTTGCACTCCTGGTCTGTTTGTAACAATTTAGCAATGTTGGGAATATTTCGCGAAGAATTATTTTTAAATTTTCATAATTCCATCTTTTTAGTTGGATGAACAATGTGATCTTTTAGCAAAGTAAATTTTTCATTGTGATCTCCTGCAAAATGCAGATTTACGCATGCTGAATCAAGAGTTCACTTGGCCTGACAATCATTATGTAAGGAAATCTCTGCAAATATTAATTTTCAGATTGCAATTAACTTTCTACATCTCCATTCTTTTATGTTTCTCTCTTTTTTAGCCCACAATATTGGTCTAAATTGCCCTCCATATTCACGGTGGATATTATTAATACTTGCACGAATATAATTAGGAATTATAAATGCAGATGGTATTTATCACTTTTGCCACATATTGTTATGGCAGTGTGCAAGTTCCTTCACAAGGAATGGCACTATAATACCATAGATCCCAACCCACTAGGATTAATCTGCAAATTTAAGATGACTCCATATTTTTCTAATGAGATATTTAGGAAAAAAATCTCTTATTATATTGGGGTAGATATGAAACTAGAATATAATTATAAGAAACTGATTTTACATCAAACTTCTTTGAAGATGCATATCTTATGAGAGAATAACTTACTAAGTCAATTGTCTTTGCATACTTCTTGGAAGCATCATCACACCAAGTTTCACACCACAGCCACTCCTGTGGCAATGATTTGATAGCCACCTGGTGAATCATGTTGTTTGGAAGATCCTATAACAAGATTAACATAAGAATGAACTTGGATAAATCTGTTTTGCACATCACTTGGTTCACCTTCCCAGAAGTTCTTCAGAAGTAAATTTGGTACTATTTTCAGAACTACAAGATAATATCATGATACAGAGATTAGAATGTCAGACTTTGGTACCAAAGAGTTTCATTTCTGCCTAAATGGATAGCAGCCAACTAGTACAATAAAAAAACCGAAATGAAATTAGTGGTGCTGCAGATCGCATATACTTTTTCATGGTGGTTAGCTTCCTAACCTCTTTAATACAAGCTAGCTATTCGGTATTGGCTAAAATACATTTTTTTACATTTTTCTCAACTTTTCAGCTGCCTAATAATAAAAGTGAAATGTGGCTTTAAGAATTTTAATGGAGTTAAACATAGTTAAAAGGTTGATATAATTAATAAACTTGCACAATTAATATTCTGCATTTTATTATATAAGCAGAATTAATTTCCCGCCATTTACACAATTTTTCCTCAAACCCTTCACACCGAAATCAATTCATCTCAGGAGCAAATCCAAAACCAATTGTACAAATTCAGTATGTGAATAATTCAAATATGAAGAAGACTTTTATCTGCCTCTTTAACCAACATAATTTACCTGATCCAAGTTGGACAGAGAATTTGGATCCTGACTGAGGGCCTGATATTGGCCTCTCAATCGATCTCCAGCAGCTATTCTTCTAAAACGACGTAAATCCACTACATACAGGGCACTGATGTGGTAGCGGCGGCCCTGTAGATGGTTTCGCCAGTAGCCTTGCTTCCAGAAACGGAAACCATCCATTTCAGTGCGGCTGTCACAAAATGGTGTATAACCATAAGGAGCACCTCCCAGATCCAGTTCTACCAGCTCATGCATGTCAGCTCGTACCACCTAAAACATTTTTAGATGGATTAGGTTTTATTGTGACATTCCTCATGTCTTTATATTCTTAAAGATAATTTTTGTTTTCCTTTCTCAATGTCATTTTCTTCAACAACAAAAAAAAAAAAAACTTACTTATTAAGTTACTTACATTTCTCAAACTGAAAACATTTGAAGTAATGTACCGTATTTGCCCAAACATAAGATAACTGAATATTAGATGATTCCCAGATTTTAAAGAGGTCTCCTTATAATATTTAAAATTTTCCACTATTAAATCAAAATAAAATTGCAAATTTCTAATTGATAGAATTGGTTTTTAAGAATAAAACATTTTGTCTGAGATATCACTATTTTTTGTATTCCATAAAGTCATTGCCGTTTTTGTCAATACCATCTCCGTCTTCACGTGTATGATCCATCCTCCTCACTTACTAGGTCACCCTCTTACTTTTTAGCTCCGTCTCGGAAAATTGTGTGTTTTGAATTTGCAAATCTGCATTCTTAGTCTTTCCTCACATGCCCCCTAAGAACATTTCCTTCTGTGTTGCCAGATTTTCTTCCTGACATGTGTATTCTTCACCTCCAATTCTTTAATGATTATTTACTTTAAATTTGCATGATACAATTTTGAACTGTGAACCCACACCCCTGGGCTGCATGAGAAGTGAAATATCAGTTTTTGGAAATTTTTTGCTAAGAAGACTTTTAAATCCTGTTGGTGAGGCCAATGTCCCAAACTGAAAGTCTGCATGGGCTCATCAAACACTGTGTAATAAAATATTGGCAATGCTTCATTTTTATCTTGTGTATCACTTACTTCATTGCCGACCATTTAAGATTCTTACTTTACCAGGTAAAAAATAGTGGCCGGAATTGCCTAGCAAATCTCCAGTTGATGCCAAAAATAAAATGTTAATAAAATAAAATTAATACAATAAGGAATGACAGATATGTGCGATATTTACTGCTTTTGCAGCTTATTGTTACATCAGAATTAGTTTCTTGACATGGAAAAGCAGTGAAAAAACAATTCCTAGTCAACTAGGCTTAATTTACAAATATAAGACTAACCCCAAATTATCAAATGAGATATTTACACAAAAACCTTGTCTTATATTCAGGTAAATATGGAAATAAAAAATACATTATATTCCTTAACTATTCTTAAAGAAACATACAATTAAGTATATTTAAGAAATGCTAAATAGCAATTACCCTGTACTCTCACTTCTATCTCAGAATTTGTCCACATTTTCTCTACTATTCGAATCAAATATTATACTTCACACAAAATAGGGGTGTGTGTGTGTGTAGGGGGGGGGGCCCTAGTATATACAAAGAACATAAAAGAGGCCCATTCATTTTAATTTAATGTATATTGTTTTAATGTATTTTGTTTTCATTCATGAATTTGTCATGATTTTATTGAAATTAAATTTCTATTATTAAAAGGAATGCTTCTAAGACTGCTGACAATACCTGATCTGCATCCACAAAGATTATCTTGCGAACACTTAAGGGAAACAATACATCCAAAAAGAGAATTTTGTAACCCCATATAATTCGCTGCTTCTCTGTCTGCTGGTGAAGCCAACGTGGCCACTTGTATTGAACTAATTCATATTCAAAGCCATATTCTTTGGCCATGTGGGGTAGGAAATCCTGAGGAACAAAAATACTGAATTAAATAACATTAAAATCAAGATTTATTTTTTCATTAGATAAATTTTGGCAACATGTCAAATTTTAACTTTATGAAATCACCTTAAAAATACTATTGCACAAAAAACATGTACTGAAAGGTGTAAAATGAAATATATGAGATATTGAATTGGATGAGAAGGACATGGAAGAAAAATACAAAATTATAACAGAAACAGTAGAATTATAAAAAGACTTTTGGACAACAAACTTTTATGAAACTTTTATGACCTTTGGGAAACAAAATTATTATGAGAATTAATAATATTACATCAAATTAATGTAAAGTATTGTGCATAAATATGCATAATGGAAGCAAAGGAAACCAGAAGCATGGAAGTACCTCAAATGAAATTTTTGAGGATAGTTTTAGGAAAAACAAGAAACAAAATTCAAAATCAAAAAATTACAAAAGAAGTAAATGTAGAAAACTTAGCAGAAGAAATAAAAGTAATAGGCAATAGCAGGGGAAATGGAAAAAATTCATGAAGAGGATGGACAAAGCACCACTGATTGCTATAAAGTATAGACCAGTAGGCAAGGGGGGCAGAGCAGATGGTACCAGCAGGAGCACATGAACAAAGAAGGTACATGTACTGCTTCATTACATATTGAGAGGACAGGAAAATTATTCCTAAACTGAGAGTGTTGATGATGATGATGATGATAATGACGATGATAATGGAAATGAGAAAAAATTTTAAATATTACAACAACCATGAAAAATTCAGAGTGTACATTGTACACCTAATGACAAATGGAAAAATGGAATTAGTGGCAAAAAGCTGAAGAAAGTTTTGAATATACCCCAATTATACTCTTAATATGGATGTTTTAATGTTTCACTTCATAAACGCAATTAATTAGAATAATTGCATATTACCATGCCTTACATGCAAACTACATGACGACCTTTTATTTATAGTCATGCTCGCTAAATGAGAGTGAATGACTGGTATACTCAATGTAACTTCCTAATAAAAATTTTCTAATTATTTCTAATTAAAAAAGCACAAATTTTGGAAAATTCTAATATGATATGTGAGGAAGAGGCTTTCTACAAGCCATTTGGCAACCCTGTAAGTGGTTCAGTATAAAATCAATTGTAAGTATTGATGGTGTCATGCAAGTTAAACCTTTTTTCTCCATGTATGTTTTATTTATTTACATATAAAATATATCTTGTAAATATAAATATTTAATGGAAACAAGGTTTAGGAATGAAATTCCATCCGCCTCTTCTCAGGCTGTGCAATCCTACATTCATGTGTTTAAACTTTTATTTGAACAATATTAATAAATAATGGATTGCATTTTCAGGTCCTAATACCATGAAGATACATGAATTTACACTATTTGATACATGATTAACAAGAGTATTGGAAGAGGGGAAAATGCAGGTTACCAATAAATAACAGATAGATCCTTTCATATACTTAAAATACAAGGTGTGATCAGAGAGTAGTAGGTCTTATTTTTAGTAGGCAAGGCAAATCCACAGTGGGGAGTCATTGTACAGTTGAGCATGGTCCCTCATGAACAGAATGTGACCCTCCGGAATGGCCTGCCTTTAGAGAGTGAACACCTGTGAACCTGTGTTATAAAGTATCGTCGCACTCAGCACGGAACGGAATTTCATGTTGCGCTACAGTGTGGAGTTTTGCTTCAAAGTTCGAAAAACTTCCAAGGCAACCTTTGATATGAACAAGCAGGCCAAAGAGGGTGCTCTCAGGAGCCACTAGAGGATTTTTAAGACAAGTTGTTCAGGGAGAAGAAGGAAGCTCATTGAGGATGACCAATGCGCCAGTCACCCAACAACACCAAGGGATGATAAAAATTTGACAAAAATGAAACAAGTTCTGGACTCTGATCACTTCTGAATGGTGTTTTTTGATCATCATGCTGTCATGCACACGGAGTTTGTACCTGCACCATCGCTTGCGAAAACAAGTCAACTGTGGGTGACCAGACATCGCCCATTCCTGGAAGCTCCACAATGCCATGCAATAACACGCTGTTGGTGAGAAAGCGGCTGGCTCAATAAGGCATTGTCACGTTGCCTCATCTACCTCACCCCCCTACAACCCAGACATGACTCTACCTGACTTCTCCCTCTTCTTCTCCTCAAATGGCCCATGTAGGGACAATGTTTCGACTAATCAAAGACGTCCAAATGGCTGTGACAAGGATCCTCAACAGTATTCCAGCCAGCAACTTCGAGAAGGCGTTCGCAGATTAATAAATGAGTTATACTTGATGTGTCGAAACACACAGGATTTGAAATTTGTACAGATGTGTGTAATAAATAATTTTTAATAAAATCAGTCCAACTACTTTCTGATCATACCTTGTATACGTACAGTAAAAATTTGTAAGCATAAACAGATTTTAAAATAGATGAATTAATAAAAATTTAACATAATAGTTACCTTAAAGGTAGGAGATAAATAATTTTTGAGGAACCAGAACTTGACAGGTGTAGTTGTGTGTTTTAACACACTAAGCATCATAATGCGGAGAAAACGCTCGTACAAATGTCCTGAGGCCAGCGAGAATATGTTGATTCGCTCCTCTTCTTCCTCGTCCTTTTTGGCTCCACCGAAGGTGCTGCCAACACCAGACAACGGGGGTTCGCTGAAGTGTAACACAACATGTTCAACAATTTTTTTTTCTCATCACCATATTCACGCACTATTCTTATTTCACAATGAGCACAAAACATTGCTAATTTATTTTCACTTCTGAATCTACCAAACTTTTCTTATGTTGATTGTTAAATTCCACTTAAAATAATTAATGTTTGTGTTCCTACCTTTGTAAGAGAAGGAAAGTTGTGCTGCATGCCATGAAAGTAAAGAACACGAGACTGATAGTGCTTAATATTATATTAGTGTTCAAACACTGAAAGGTTAGTATGGGAACATGTCAAACAAGATTTAAGCCAAGCTTTGGCACTGCCCATGGAACAGCATACAGACACAGTATAGTATTTAGTGTCTTAAAAATAAATGAGTTCAGGATTTTATTTATATTACCATTAGCAAATAGTGAGCATATTTTGTGGCTCTCTTTATATATTTTCTCCCTCTCAAAGGCATAAGGTCATTTTCAATATACCACAAAAATTAGGAAATCAGGAATTAAAATTTTACACACTAACTTTACTCCACATGTAAACAAATAGTTGATTATTGCTCTTTCTCATTTGCTGTCGGTCACCATGTTTCTTTTGAGATCAAGAGGGATAGGTATTGGATCTCCTTCAGAAAGAATGTATTTCTTGAATATACTCTCATACAGAGATGAAACAAGATGCTTTTCAACCATTGAAATGACAGCAGCCACTTGCAATGACCCTGAAGGCAACAACAGCTGTCAATGGAACTTCCAGGAGATAAAACACCTGAAAAATGTTCTCTGGGTGAGTGCGCGTGGGATTTTCTTTTCAGTACTGGGAGTCGGCCGCAAATGTCAAACTCTTTCTGATAGGATGCTATGGACTGAAATGAATTAACCTTTGATGATTTCCTATCTTTCTTGGATATTTGATTGAAATATATTTTTCGCTTTGAATAAAATGACAATTTATAATAATGTAAAACAACAATACATTACTTTATAAAACAAATACTTGAAACATTGAAAGGTATACCTAAACTTTTCCTTGTTTTGTGAAATGGAGATCCTGCAATCAAAGGTTACTTAAAACCATAGTTTTTGGCACATTTCATTTAAAGCATACTATTTATGTCCCCATCAATAGTTCCCATGTGAGGCTAATGAACAAGAGCATGTGTGTGGAAAGGTCTGGGGATATGGGGACTGACCTTATCTCATTGTCACAGGTCCTGGATGACACCTTTTATGATTTTCACACTGCTTTTGGAAAAAAACTTCCTCAACATTCCCAATCATCTTTGAACCAATATCTTTAGCCCAATTTCTTAACTGCACTCCATAAAGTCTTGGAAGGTATGCAATTCGAAACACCATGGATTCCTGGAGGGGTGACATTGCAATATATGTGTAAGAGAGAAATTGTGTGCTTTTTGTTTGTTTTCTTTTTTGATTTAATTGATGTTGGGGTAATTGCAAATCTGATAGGTGTCAAACACTTTCAACAAGAGGGGGTGTTTGCAATGATCATTCTTTACACTCTAACAGTGCTTTGGAAAAACTTTCTCTTCTGCCAGACATATATTAACACTGAACTTAAAGTAAGTTAGCTGCATAATTTGGTCAATACTGATGAAAATATATTCCAGCAACTCATGCTTCAAATTACATGAGGAGAGTATACATTGCAGATTTATTTACATAAGTAGTAAAGTTAAAGTGAATAAATGAACAATAATGAATTACCTGCAAGACATCTTTGTCTTCAATCACTGAAACTCCAACCTAATACAATAATTTAAATACAGTTTTCTGTAAGACATAGGCATTACCACAATATTACCCTGCTTTCTGCGATTAATATGTATAAAATATTTATAACACTATTTCTCAAAAGCAGTAAACAGCTAACGCAGAAGCAAACGGATATGTCAGGAAGCAGTTCTACCTGGTGATTGAATTCCAGAGGCCAGGAGCAGCATCATCATCAGAAAGGAGAGAGAGGTGCTGCTTATCTGGTTTCTTGCCCACACGCAACTTCAAGACGTGGCTTCTGAATGAGCTAATTACCACTTTAATGTCAGATGAATTTGCAGGAGTGTCAGATCCGTCATGGCTATTAACACATTAAATAACAGATTAATTACGAAGGAAAAAGAAGGAAATACAAGAAAGGCACATTTACACAATACTTAAAATATAAAATTTAAGCAATGCTGCTTCTATAAGACATCATAATGTTCAATTTCTTCTTGATTCTTAAAAATTAATAGGTTGAAGGTAATATTTTAACTTGACTGTGATTTTAAAAGAAACATATTTCTAATGCACGTACCTAACAATATCAAATATATCAGCTGATCGACCTTGTCGTAATCGCAAAATCCATGCTCCAGGATTGGCTTTTAGTTGAAAGTACCCTAGATTTGCCATTACAATGGTATCAACACGCACTGGCTCAGACTCAGTGCCAAGAGTTATCTGTAATCCTCGCGGAGGATTACCCGAGTTTGCTTCAAAGCAGTGTCCTTCCAGCAAGAGGTATTCCAATTCATATTCACTGAAATAATTGTATTGAACATTCATTAGGAATATAATAATGCCTACAAAAAGAAATAAACATTTTCCACAATTACTGAAATCATATCCCATCATGTTCTTCAATTCATGCATCTCAAAGCATACAAATTATAAATAGATTAATTATGTCTAGGATGAGAAAAGTCCTATAACATATAGTACCTGTGTACTCCACTATCCACATCTTCTAATCTGATGTTGTCAAGATCGTATGGTGAACGCACAGATTCCACCAGCCAATTTTCAGGCACTTGCATGTTTTGTGTAAGCAGCACTGAGGTGGGCATGTTAGTAAAACGAGCTAAAGGTCCTGCAGATTGTCGACCCTCTGGTGTGAATTGTACTTCGGGTTCCAATACAAATCGATAGAAACTGCACTCACAAACAATTTAAAATTAGGCACAATACTGCTCTAAGTAATATAACACATATAAACAAATCACAACAATATACAAATTACAATATACAACAACATTTGTTTAATGTTACATGATTGAGAAAGCTATTTTGAAAAGAGTAAAATTTAAATGTCTGTTTAAATGTTTAAAATTAAAATTTAAATTCATAATGTCCAAATATAAGAATTTAACACCACAAATATTTAGTGTTTACATAAAATGACATTTGAAACCCCTCCCCTCCATAAAAAAAGTGGCAAAAAGATCTTACCTTTTGAGAGGCATATCACTGCTCTTTTCCACACAATTGAGGAAAAGCTTGATGTTGCAATTAAGTGTTTCATGCAAAACAGATGCAATGGGTCCCACTTTCTGAGCTCCTCTTGACACAGGGTCTACAATCACCACAATATCCAAAGCTGGCTGACCAGAGGAACGAGCAGGAAGTCTTACAGCACTGCAACCATCCAAACCCAAACATTATTTCATCAATAGCAGGTTAACTAACAATGGGTGATCAGCGGCCTTTTCATATAAATTAATAGCTCAAGAATTAAATAGGACTTATTTTTCAGGGAAGAACATTTTCAGGTAATGGCACTAGAGCAGGGAAAAAAAAAGAAGAAGAGAGAGAGAAGAAGAAGAAGAAGAAAAAAAAAGTAGTATCAATGAAAAATGAACCAAACATTGTTCCATACATGACAATAAATAACTGGGTTTAAAGCAGATAAATAAAAATGACATTTTGTTTTTTGATGTTTTTTGCTAGACATACATTCTACACAATGTGGATAAAATAATATCACAATTCTATAAATAATAAACTGAAAAATAAGTACTTCTTATTTTCTTTTACATTTAGTTTTTGCTTAAAGAAATTGATGATTAAACTTGCAGCTTCAGTTTAAGATCTTTATATAGTGTTTAGAGATTTTAGAGATCTGCACAGGTTATTTTGAATCTGCCAACAATTAATCATCCAACATATTTATCAAAACTTCTATCTTCTTCCATTGTACGCAAGAATTTGTTTCAGGTTATACGACCTCCAATATTATACAAATATATTTCACGGTTATTTAAAAACTCAATATTTAGCAGTGGTGGCTAGTGCTTCTAAAAATGGGGGTTACTGCTTAATCAAAAGACGGAAATATGATGGAGATAAATCCATTAGTATCTAATTGTCTCTGCACTGGAAGTGGAAGTGTAAAATAATGGTAGCTGCAAAATGTTTTTATGTGGGTGCCACAAGTTTCTATTTTTTCAAGCTATCTATTACGTGGTTTAAAATCTTTACACATAACAAATACAAAAGACTTGCTATTCTATACACTATCTTTTAAACTGAGACTTCTACCATGTATCCTCATCTCCATACAATTTACTGGGGAAAGAAAACAGCTGTTTTTTAAACAAACCAAAACCACCTGCGTTCACAACAAAAATCATTTCTGAACTTTTAATCAAATGCTACTTTTTATTGATTTTACATTTTAAATGGCATTTTAAAAAACAGGTAATTGTCTTTCTAGGTCCCTTAATATCCAGTTTTTCATCAACAGAGCATGAACCAAAAATAATTTTCAACTGAATTCATTGTTTTACAGCAGAGAAATAAGTATGTAACACTAAACATTCTTCACTAAACCAAGAATCGCTCCAAAATTCATTATAAAAAACAGAAGAGACGATTCTTACTTTGTTTTGAAATATTAGTCAGTTCCACTTCACAGACACCTACAGCACGAGCATCGACAACAACAACAACAACAACAACAATAATAACAACAACAATGAAACTAATCACAGAAAACATTTAGTTCCATTTCTCACATACACTGACATGGTTATCAAAGCAAAATGACTGCATGGAAAAGAACTGCATACATCACACAGGCCTATCATCATTTGATCAACATAGCTTGTAACTAAAGTAACTGCAGTCAGCAAATGCACGTTTTAAATTAACAAATCTAATATAAAATTAAAATAAATTTGCCAACCAAGATAAATAATGCACACAATATAATAAAAGTTTTTTGAACTTTGGAACCATTAATGACATGAAAATTAATAAAACAAAATGGGTTTATACAATTATATTAAACAAAGACAGAAAACTGGTATTCCCTAAGCTCCCTCAGATCAGCCATTGATAAGTTCCCTGCATTCCATGATGACAGCTTATGGTGCTTTGTGTGGTATTGTAGTGGTACTAAAATGCACAGGGAATGATTGCTTTCTTTGAGACAGAGAAGCCAGAAGGCTAGTGCTTTGCGATGTTAATCCCATTAGAGCACATCATCACACATTAGTACATTGCCTGACTTGCAACAAGACACCAGAGACGGTGCTTGACCAGCATTTTTTGATTTTAAAATGAATCCATACATTGATGTTGCAGCAATATCTCAATTATTAAATGACATTAAATTGAAAAGATACATTTCTAATAATGAAGAGTATTTCTTGATTAAATGAGGAGTTTGCAATCATAAAACCTAAGCACAATTAACAAATAACAAGAAATACTTAAAAAATAAAATTACCTGTGTTGCTCTCCACGAGCAGGAATGTCAAAGCGACTTCTTGTTTGCGGCCGAGAAACGAGGATAGCAACAGCTTGCATTAAAATATCACTGTCATCAATATCTGCAACAGAAAAATTATATATAAGCAAAACAGATAATAGAATATCTATTATTTCTCAAGATGATGGAGAAGAGAATTGGAAAGCAAGTAAACTAAAGAACTAGGAATTTATTACATTAAATTGTAAAAGTAACATCTTTTGAACCACACTTCATTCGTATATAATTTATTATTGTAACTAGATGCACCCACCTAAAAGGCCTGATAATAATATCACATTATACAGAGCAAGTTTCAATTTTTGTGTATGAAATTCACATTTCAGCTCCAGAAATTTCCTGATTAAAATTAAGTTTATTTTATTTATTTGGAATATTTATTCCTATTCCCAATGTGAGATTATCACATGGAGTGAAATGCTTTTCTAAATGAATGAAAGTGAAATGAAAGATATAAGAAAGACAAAAGCCACAGAAAAATGCATTGAAAGATCATAACTGATTCTCCAATACATGAAACCATGGTCAAGTGGAAGAAAAGTAATGATACATATTATCCCCTTTCAAATGGAAAAGTAACCTATTGAAAATTTACCATCATCATCATCATTTGCTTTGGCCTTCAATGCCTGGAGAATCTTATCACCATACACTCGAAGACTGTACCGTTCCAGCAGAGAGAAATCATCTAGAGTGAAAGCCTCAGTCGTATCCAATGGTCCTAGCACTCGTCCATTGGTCACAACAGCTCGACTTCCAGGAGGTACACTTAGTACTGACTGACAGTAGAATCTAAATGCACGTAGAAGCTCTAAATCTGTCTTTGAAGCATCTCCATCTGCTTTCAGAGCTTCAGAGAGTTCACTGAAGTCCACTCCCTAGACACAAGGAAAGAACATTATTATTTCAAAAATTTCTGAAATCCCAAAAACCCTCTACTATAATATATACTAAGCTAATGTCTCCCTCATGTTACGCTAATAATGGAAATACTGTGAATGTAAATAATGTGAATAATGCACTCACCATCTCCGGTACATCTTTCAGGGTCTTTGAGCCATCAGCCAATCCACTGGCCAGATTTTCATCTTCCAAGATGTGTATAAGCAGATTGGAAGCTGCTTGGGGATTTAGAGAGCGCAAAGATGCCAGAGCTAGTAAGTTCAAAGGTTGTGCCTTTTGCTCAGGACTCACCAGGGGATTAAGTAGCAAGCCCACACGTGAATTACCACTCCCCTTCTGAAAATCAAAAATATTCAACTAGCAAAGTAGCAGATTACTCATTAATATAGTATTATCATCCATTAATATTATCATAATATTAACATCTATTATATAAATTTGGAAGTATATATGATTATATGTACAAGAACATTTAAGCAAATATTTAAAGAGAAAATGTTGAGCCGTTAAAGAAAATCTTGTTTACATATCTTATTTGCTCTAAAAATTCAAAAGTACACCAAAACTCAATTTTAGATTTTCTTCAGAGAGGTTAATTGCACATGACAGCACACAAGATCAAGCAAAATCAAGTGGTTGGCAGAGGGAGCAGAAAAAAAAATTTAATTCATAATATTTGGAAATTAGAGGTTTCAATGAAAATTCGACATGAGCCAATTTTATAAGTGTATTTTGCCCTAATTGGGCCAAAAATTTAAAGACAAAATGTTTTCTTAGAGCATCATGCAAAGTATCCCTAAAAATAAAAGTTTTTTTTTTTTCTCTCTCTCTCTCTCTCTCTCTCTCCAAATTCACAGGGCCTCAAGTGCCTGTGACCAGATTAATCAGGGCATAATTATCTATTTTGGAGAAAATCCTGTGAATGTTTTGGGCATTTGTGTTACCACAGATATTTTATTGATAACCACTTTTTCAGTATTGAGACCAACAAACATTCTCACTACCTTATATATTCTTTGCTAAAACTTTAAAAGTAATTTTCTAAATATAAAGCAAAAAAATCCACTTTTTTGGTATCAAGACCTACAAAATGCATTTTGCTGACAAAACAATCAGCATATTTCCAGCAGCGTTACCATATTTTTTCTATATTACATAATACTAGGCTAGAAAGAAAAAAAAATCAATTTTGCAAGTATTCACCAAAATTAACTCTGGAGTGAACATAATAAAATTTTCTCCACAGAAACAATTTGTGTAAAAAAATATCCTTTTGTGACTTGTTACAGAGTCAGAAGCTCACCATATTTTGAAGAGCATACAGGAGCAATGAGCGGCCTGAAGGCTCCTGCAAGTCTGCAGCTACCCAATGAGTCAGGATGTGTGGAGGATGAGATCGAGGGCCATGGAAATAGCGCATCCAACGGCCAAGAATAACTGCGGTCTTGTCTCTAGGCGACAATAGCTTGAAGGCTTCCACATCTACTGAACCACTTCCTTTGATGGAACCAGTTACATCCAGATATACTCGATCATTGTTAAGAACCCTGTTGTTTAATCTGAAAATTCAAGTCAGGTGCGAATACATAAGTAGTTATGTACAGCAAAACTTCACTCATATGCTTTTCAGGGGACTGAAGGGCAAAATGTATAACTGAGACAAATGCATAACTAAAATTGAATATTATGAGCAAAACAAAACTCAATATTTTAACATTGGCGCACTCTACTCTTGGACCTACTCACAGGAACTGCTACCATTGTTAACATACAATGTAGGTTTTCATGGCCGGTTTCTACATAATAAGATGTTTCCGGGTTTGTAGGCCGTGGTCTACCGACCCGGTGGCCGAGATCGCGAAGGCAGTAGTGCTCTAGTGATCTCGTACCAAAAGATCGCGGGTTCGAGTCCCGCCTCAGGCATGGTTGTATTGTGTTCGTCCTTTCACCCCCTATCAAAATCACCATCATATCAGGGAAGGCAATGGAAACCACCCTGAAAATTTATCCCAAGAAAACCTGTTATGAGTCACCTAACTTCCGTATATGGAAGAAGGACCAAAGAAGAAGGCCGTGGTCTAACGAAGACTGGTCCATACGTTTTGCCTGGCAACTCTGGCAGGCATTATCAGTGGTTTTGCTGGCGGGGGCAAAGTGTTCTTGGCAGCACGTGTTGACTGACGCTCCCGCTGCAATGGGACTCGTATTGATAGAGAAGGGTGATGTTTGCGCACTCACATCTGACCAGCACGCGTTGACTGACGCTCCCGTGGCCTGGTGTGATCAGACGGCGTCTGATCAGACGTGAGTGTGCCAAACCTCCACCTTCCATTATAAATACCGGGTCCCAAGAAAAAGGGGCCCCCCCCCGCGGGGGAAAAGTGGGGTTTCCCCCCCAAGTCAAATGCCAAGTGCTGGCAAAAACACTTCGCCCCCGCCAGCAACGCCACTGACGATGCCTGCCAGAGTTGCAGACAAAACGTATGGAGTCTCCGTTGGATCACGGCCTGCAAACATCTAATTATTCTACGATTGTTACTTTTTTTATTTAGACAAAGAACAGTGACAACTGTATATGACATATGTGGGAGAAGTACCATCTGCGCAAGTTTTCTTCAACTCCAGAATCTCTTCCCAACATTTTAACTATAAACCGTTGAATGATGAATAAAAGTTTCAAAAATAGCAAAATTAGGAACATTTGAAAATGTGACATTAGTGCTCTAGACTTATGGGAAACATATTTGCATCAGTAAACGGATTGGAGTTGTCGATTTTTTATTTATTTATTTGTATTGCTAACAAAACAGTAACACATCATTGGCATTACACCTACCACTACTAACAAAAGGTGAGCTTAACAAAATGTGCGCGTAGTGGAACTACATTTATGTCCAGAAGCAAAACAAGAACCACCTCAGCATTTGCTGCATGGACCAGGGAAACTGGAAAAAAAATTGATCAAACCCGGAAGATGAAGAACATTATTTGTTACTTTTTAGAAGAGTCACGAGCCAGGCTGGTACACCTGGTGGAAAAGATACCACTGATAATAATTATTATATATATTCATGCAGCCAGTCCTTTGGCTTATGTCACATTAGTGTTGCATTGATGTGCATCACTGTCGACGACATCAGCTGTGTCGATGCCAGTGCACCGGAGTCACTTTATGTGTGTCATAGATAAACATTGTAACGGCGAGTGAGTTGTGCCTTCAGTTATAGCAAGACAGTCAAGTTCAAATGTAAGTCACAATAGTGTGCGTTTTATATATTTCCACATGCACCATTTGTCACCAAGAATGCTCGGGTGCCATTTCACATAAGTGTTAATCTATTATGCATGTTAAGTGAATTGTATGCGCAGTCATTGACATATGTCAACGCAGCTGACATTTTCAGAGTTGTGACGCACATCAACACCACGCTCATGTTACACGAACCGTAAATACCATTAAAAATCTTTTTAATTTCCTCGATTTTCAAAATTTCCTTTAAATTTGCTGAATTTCTACAGTGGAATATAGGTGAACATTATGAAAAGCCTCACAAGCACATCACTCATGCCCTATTTTTTATCCTATTGTTTTGTTCAAAATTCCGAAATGGAAAGTTGAAACCAGTTGAAACGCCCAGCGTAGCAATGAAGTAAAGAATCTGAATACTGAATTCAATACAAAAATTCCTTGGGCTCCTTCACAATAAAATAGAGGATCTCACTTACTGGTCACCTATGTCATTATTATTTGGGTGTTATACAGTCTTAAAGGAACTTTCATTATGAATGTATACGAATGAAAAACCTATAAATGTAAAATGCTTATCTCAAATTATTTATTTATTTGTTAATTTGTCCTATAAGCATAGAAAGTATAGGCATTTATCTGGGACTGACAAAAAAAAAAAAATATATAAATGTGAAAATCGTATAAACAATGTTCAATTGTATTTGGCTTGAAAGGAAACAGTTTAATAATGATACAAATCAAAAGTTCTTCTTGTGAACCTTTTGTGATAGTCCAAAATATTCACAAGTGTTATCTCAAAATAAATGTTTTGAATAAACCTTCTGATATATAATACTTGAAATGTTAGATACATGATTAATGTCTTGTATACAGGAAGAATTCAAGGTTTAACGAATAGGAGTGTTGTCATGGTGTTCAGAAGTTATTAAACCATTAATATTGATAGATTTATTACATTATGTAAACGATGAATGAAAGACACATTAAAAATCCCATCAGTATGATAAAATTAGATAAATTGGGACATTGAAACACACAACTCAAGATTCACACTTTCATCTTATTAATAGGGGATACAAACACCTTTTCCCTTTTGTATGCCACATTATATCACAATAATCATGTGATTCAGTGTTTTTATTTCAAATTTTTTTATAAACTAATTTCTATCAAATAAATTTAGTGGCCAAATTCATCTGATACGAATGGTGACATGACAGATTTTCTGTTTTTTCTGAATTGGAAATTCACACAAATATTTACTGTATTTAACTGAATGTAAGTAGACTCTGAAAATAAGATAACCACCTAATTTTGAAGAGACCTCTTGGGAACTTTTTATATTTTTAATTCATAATTTTTTAGTAGAAATAAAGTTGCAAATTGCCTTATTGACTAGAAAATTGCATTGTTGATGAAAATGTTCAAGACTTATTGCTAAGCTATCATTTTCTTGGTCGTTAATTCCTACTCACTGGCCATCGAACTGAGATTACGCACGGCCTCATTGAACCCACATCATGTAACAAAATTTTGGCAAACATTTTCACATATAGAGATGATATAAAGCCATTTGTTTTAGATTCTCTCTTAACCTGCCCATTCAGAAATATTGGTTTGAATTGCCCAGCAAATTTGCAGTGGATGCTGACAATACGATAGCGAATATAATTATGTATTGTAAATACATGCAATATTTTTACCACCTTTGCAGTTTATTGTTAAGCCAAAATTTGCAAGTTTCGTGACACGAAATGGCAATGTAAAAAGTTTAATTCTTATCGCCTTTGCTTAATCTGTGAATACGACACAACCTCACAATTTTCAACTGAGATGTTTAGGAAACAAAGTTTCCTGTATTATGATAAATACAGTATATTGCTTGACTCACAACTGTTGGGTATTTCAAGCAGGACAATTCAATTACACAACCTACCTAGGCATAACATTGGGCTGATTCATAATGAAGTCCAAAGTGTTATCTGAATCTGAAAGTTCAGCTTTGTACACAGCTTTCTGGAATACAGTTGTTTGAGCCATAATCTCACTCAGCACACCTTCCTCAAAATCATCTGCATTAAGTACATTTTCAGGCAAGGGAATGCCATTCAGCAGAACCTGTCAACAAATTACTAATTCAGGATTTTTATAAATGGTTCACATGTTATTTATTATGTTTTGTCCAAATACATAAGACACTCATAACTTCATAAATTATTCCTACAAGGAAATTGTAATCAATAAAAATGTAACAAACACAAAAAAATTTAAAACTCTGCATACTTGTGGAAGATTCCGCAATCCAGTTCTCTCTATGAAATCTTTAGCCAGTTTACGACCTGTATCATATTCAGAATCTTCACCAAATATTTCATCAACAGAGGCTGATGGATACCTAGTGCGCATTAAATTAATGACATCTTTTACAGTGACATCCCTTTCCTCCTTAATTTGTGCATAAATCTGAAAATTTTAAAAAATTAAATTTAAAATAATATTAAATAATTTAAGAACACTTTTTTATATCATAAACATGTTAGAAGCATGATTCCTGTAACTACAACTGAATAAATATTCATAGTTTATAACATTTTCACATGTGCATTAAATATGATAGTATATAGCAAGGGTTATTGTTTTTAAATTAACTCACAATTACTTAAGTTTCATCAATCAGTAATAGTTACATAACAAAAGAATATTCATTAACAAAACAGTTAATAATGCAAGATGCATCGCATTGAAAATTCATTCATAGCATGGTCGCTTTATCTTTCACCAATGATTAGAAAATCTTGGCAAGGTGAGCTAACAACAGTAGAGCTGGCCAACATGGCATCCAAATTTCTGCAGCTACCCTTTCAATCAAAAAGCAGAATTCTTAATAACCTTGTATCCTAAAAATGTTCGACAATAAAAGCATGATAAAATTTTCTTTCAAGCAGTCTTTCTTAATGACTCTTCTAGACTAATCAAATGAAACTAGAATAAAGACTTTGTAATTATTTTCACACAATACGGCAACAGCTCACACTGCCGTACCGTCCATGAACTGTAAAGCACTGTATAAAGTCATGATCAAATAATTGTTCAGGAGTTATAGCATTCCACTGTACCTGATCTCTCCCCTTTGAGACATTTTCTTTAAAGAAACTTGAAGAAGAAGTTCATGTTTACATTGGAAACTCATTTAAGACAAGAGATACAGCACTCTTTTAAAGAAAATAAACTTAGTTCAAAGTGTTCTGCTTGAAATAATAAACCAAAATGTTCCGCATGTGTCGAGAAAGCTTTGAAACCAATGGACCCCACTTTCAGCGTCTTCTCCAGTTAAGATCAGAGCAACAGAAGTGGCCTGCATCTCAGTGAAGGATCTTAGTCAGCACAGCATTTTGCTACATGATCAGGCCTTTACTTGCCAAGCAATTCTTTCTTGTTTTTCAGTGACTGATAAGTAATTAGCATTTTATAAGACAACTATACAAAATCTTTAATCTGAAATAAAATGTTTTCCCAAAAGTTGGCAATATATTAGCACAAAAATTAAAAGTTCACACACTTACATCAGTAAGGAAGCTGAGTCCATGATATGCATCTTTCAGTTCAGAAACATAGTTGAAAGCATTCAGCAAGGCAACACCTGCATCGTTAAAACCATTGGCATCTGAGTCTGGATTCACAGCAAAAACAAGGCCAATTCGTAAAGGAGCCAAATGAACATAAAAGGACTCTGCAAATTTCAGAATTGGCTTCACTTGATGTTTGGCAGGATCAGCTACAATCACCTGCACAAAAAATTTTCAATTTTGTATCAGTTTTATTTTATTACTGAAAATTTAATATTCATCTACAGATGTATTAGACATCTAAAAAACTGTCACAACAGAGAAAAAGCAGTTTTGAGAAAAATATGTTTGAAGATTCTCTTGTACTTATTGATGCTATTTTAACAGGAAATGTCCAGCACTAGCCATATTTTCCGTATTACAGTCAAGGTGATCTTTTAAAATTAAAAAGCATTAAATAATGAAGCTGATGGTGTACTTACCTAAAAATCTTACTTTTTTGAGTTATAACAGTTTTTAGAGAAAGGGTCACAAATCAAAATGAATAAAATTAGAGGCTGTGTGTCTTTCTTCTGTCAACACTTTTGGTTACATATTGAATATATATTATGGGTAAATGAAACATTTCAATACTTTTACCTTCATGGGGAATAAAAAAAAAACTTGTGAAAGACTCAATGATATCATTAATACACTAAACAACCAAAGGGGCTTTCTTCTCCATATAATTTATTCTTCAGTCAGTAATTATAATTCCTTAGAGAAACATTATATGACCAAATGAATGTTACAATTTTGTAGTTTAATAGAATATAAATAAATACAAACCAAATGGTACAAATTCCGACGTATGCTTCGCAACATTCCAGGAAAAGTAGGTCTTAACAACTCCATTAGTGATTCTGACCACCGTCTATACTGCTTGTCTGTCTCAATATCATTAATCCAAATGACAGCTGAATCTCTAATATCAATGGCATATTCTCCATTATTATTTCCACCAAAATCCAAAGCCAAAAGAGAACTCATCTGAGACTGGGAAATACCTACAACAGATGACCATCCCACATCCAATTTTACAGTACATACTAAAATAGTGGTAGTAAAAATGGCTATTTCACTACTGCAAACAAATGTTAAAATGAGGACAAATAAAGGAAAAATATGGACTAATTCCATCCCACAACAACAACGCACAGATCATTAAACAAATATTAATTAAACCATGTTTGCAATTTTTCAATTACATAAATGTCCTTGTCCTTCTCTCTTTTTTCTTTTCCCTTTGTAAATTCTGGAAAATTAAGTTCACTTATTTCCTCATGATCATTATGGATTTACTTAATCTCTTGCATGGCGAAAGACATAAACTCTACAGTAGAATTAATCATAATAAATTATGTACAAGGTCCTGTTCTTCACAACTTTGTACAACTAAATGCAGTCATTTTATCTTATCAGTTGTTACAAAACCTCAGGCACTTTATACAAGAGAATCTTTCAAACCATCATAATAATTACTAAGAAAACAAAATAAGAGATGATCTATCCACTTCCAACCTAATGCATGCAGAAATGGGAAGAAGTATTCACAATATGTCTAACTACTCAAAAGCTGCTCTCTACCATCAGTTAGTATTAGTCAATACTTCCTATATACAATACCTCTCTCTCTCTCTGAATCTACAATTTGTGAATTTGATTACAATACTTTCTTTCATTGGGTGAATGTCCTTGCCCCTTGTCACCTGCCCTGCGGCGAGAGAGAGCGAGCGAGGGCGAGAGAGAGCGAGAGCGAGCGAGGGCGAGAGAGAGCGAGAGAGAGAGAGAGCGAGCGAGAGAGGAAATGGAGCATCGTGGAGTGATAATGTTCTTCATGAAAGAGATTTTGACGCTGACAGAAATTCATTCAAAGATGTATGGTGACTCTAGTCCTTAATTTCCAGCTGTTGAGCGATGAAGATTTTGACTGCCAAGTTTAAATGGGGCTGTTTCAGCATCCAAGATGGTCCACGCGAAGGACATCCAAAAAGTGCAACGACACCAGAAATTATCGAACAATATTATCTTGGAAGATCAGTGTACAAAGGTGCATGAAATTGCTGAGAGAGTAGGGATTACAAAGGATCATATGTGCCACATTTCGCATTAAGAATTGCTTATGAGAAAGCTTTGCGCAAGAATGGTGCTGTGTCTGCTCCCAGAAGATCAAAAACGCATTTGCATGAACCACAATCAATATTTAAAAAAACAAAAATTATTTTTTTGTCAATATGTGTCTATGAATGAAACAATGGATTCACCATTACACACCAGAGTTGAAACAACAATTCAAGCAGTGGACCAAAGACGGTTCTTCACCTCCAAAGAAGGCAAAGACAGTGCCATCTGCAGAAAGTCATGGCATCAGTGTTTTGAGGTGTGAAAGCCATTCTTTTTATTGATTATCTTGAGAAAGGTAAAACAATAACTTGGAAATACTATTCTAGCCTATTAACTACCGCTGATTCATTGATTTTTGAAAAGAGACCTGTTAGGAAGAAAAATTCATCTTGCATCAGGACAACGCACATGCTTACATGCACATGCACTGAGTGTCTTGGCAAAAAGGAAAAATTTTGAGATTTGCATTACAATGTGTTGGAACACCCAGCCTATTCCCCAGATATGATTCCTTCGGACTTTCATCTGTTCTCAAAACTCAAAACCAACTTTGCTGGTCAGTGTTTTTTATCTAATGGAGAGGCAATTGCGGTTTTAGTTAGGTAATTTTGAAGCTCTTCCAAAAAAAGCACTACGCAGATGGGATAAAGGTACTGGAGCACTGGTGGATGAAGAGTATTGGTATTAAGGGAGATTATGGTGAAAAACAAAAATATTTTTATACATATAAATTTTCATTTTCCCTATCAGATCAAAAACTTTAGACCACCCTCGTACACCTTCCTTCAATATTTGTAATATGTACTACTAGATCTATTCAAGGAAACCCAAAGATTTTTAATCATTTGATTACCACCACAAGTTAACCCAACAATTTTGGATTATTTGACATTTGGATATTTTACTCTATTATAATTTCAATCAGAATTTTGCATAGTATTTTCCTAGAATTCTGATGCCTATTTTTACCTCTAGTCACTGTGCAAATAAAACAAAATGAATCTTCTAGCATATTCTCATTTCCCAGCGTTACATTCATTACTGGGTAGAAATCCACTAATCCTACCCAACACTAATAAACACACATAAAAAATAGTCTAGAGTATTTGAAATTGCCACTACAACACTAAAACACATTGAAAATATTGTCTCAAAATGCTTAAAGCACCACTGTTTTGAGTGTTTGCCCCAGTTTCATTTTTAGCTAATCTAAATGCATACAAGTGCCGTAAAGCAATCATGTTTTCTCTTTTAACACTATGATGAACAAGCAGAACAGTTAAATTAGACAGTTCTTAAATAAAACACACTTTTTGCCAATCACAAACATTAAAGAGAAATACTCACCAATTTTGTGTAAACCTTCCATAACACGCAACTCTTGCCTCACAACTTCCAAGAGAGAGATCATATCCACAACATCAAGATCAAAGAACATGCCATTGAGGAATAATGCAGTGTCTGAAGGCTGAAGGTTGAGTGATGCTGAAAAGGATTCTTGATTCTCCTTTACTTCTTGTTTCAGTTCACTACTCACTTGAGTGCGTACTAAAGAGCGTGCTTGTAAAGGGAAGTTTTGAGCAATAGTTGTAAGCACTTTTAAAGCTTCTTCTCGGGGTGCAGATACAATTCGAGCCGCAGCCTGCAAACTGAGTTCCTGTACTTCCCAGACTTTGAGAGGGGCCAATTCACTACTTGATTCCAGTAGATGCTGCCGAAATTTGTCAAGATTTTCCTTCATGTCTGGGTATAGAGTCCTAACCCAGAAAAAAATTATTAAAAATTAACATCAGTAAACAGACATTTACAACTTCCTTAATAGAGCACTCAATGCTGACAATGGTACAAACATCAATTTTTCTTTCCTTAACCCTTAGCCTCATTGAATCTCTCTTTCAAACAAACTTGCAGACCAGACCTGTTCAAAAATATAGGAGAATAATGATATGTTTATTGTATTTATTTACTTTTAATATCAGGTTGGAATCAGTGAATGATATAGAAATCAATTAGCTCTTTAATAAAATTATTTATTCCAAAAAGGCATTATTAAAAAGCACTCTCAAGTAAAGAAATTTCTTAAACCAACAACAATACTACAGTCCATAAAACCAATGACTTGAAACTCTTTGAATTGCATAATATGGACCTATCCTATTCAACTCAGAATTTTCATTCTGTGCTGAAAATGAAATATGCTCTATTTAACTCACTTGAGACGATTGAAATGAAAGCCTTCTATCTCTTCATTCTCATCTTGTTGTTCGCCTCCATCAGAGGTTCCATCTGACTGTACTTGAGTATCATCCTGCACTTTGTACTCTGTAGATTTAATCTGCAACTCGACTCCATAGCCAGAAAGTCTCACACGTTTGTTGGGCCTCTCCTACAAATTAGTAGAAATGATAAAATGTGTATATGTACTTTAAAGAAAATTCAATCTCGAGCACAAATAGTATATATAAGAGATTATCTGCAATCAGGATTCATTGGACGCAAGTTCCTTCAAACAAAAATATTGAGTACAGTAGAACATAAATAATTTGGATTAATTGAAACAGATCATCTGGATAGAAAAGGTAACATGATTTTCTAAAAGAACCAAAGAGTGGTGATGCAGAATAGCATAGACTTTCTTGTACTACTTAGTTTCCCAATCTCTTTAGACTGGGCTAGTTTTCTGGTTTTGACTTCTCCCTCTTCCCAGTTGCTATTCAAGCGTAAAATTTTTTCTATTTTCCTGTCCCCTAAGAGAGGCAACTATGACTAAAAATATAATAGATAAGAAATCTGGTTCCATACACAAATTTTCATTGAAAAATTTTGAGCTTTTTTTGAGAAAATTTTGCTTAAGTTTCTGAAAATATTCATAATTTTAAGCTCAATTTCACCAAAAACTGATACTCTTCATTCAAAATCATTAGAAATACTTGTATTTACAAATACAATAATGTGTAAAAAACACACACAACATAACAATAATGTAAATACTAACGGTGTGAGACTTTTTTAAAAAATGGTATTTTTTGAAACCTCAAAGGAAAATATCAAAATGTGGTTTATGCCTTGTTATTCAGAGCATTTAATCCTCTCTGAAGAAAAAAATAAGGAGCATTTTTGAGAAAATTGTGTTCTTAATATTGTTTTCATTCAAGATTACGGAAAAACTATAAATACTTTCAAGATCATGATATTAATTAAAGAACTAATTATATAGAACTAATTTAATGTGAAGAAAAAAATCTCTTTTCTCACAATTTTCAAAAATTCAGTTAACACTAAATTTCAGTTATATGGCCTTCTAAATGTATTTCGCTTCATTCTTACAAAAAATGTGAAGAAAAAATTTGGAAATTTTTTTTAGAAAATGCACCCTAGACTTTATATAAATACCCAAGAAATTCAAAATTTCTTTTCAAAATTGCTTCAAAAAAATTCAAAGCATGAAGTCTGGCCAAATCAGCCAGAGAATATCCATTTAGGACAAAATCCGATGAATAGTTTTGTGCCAGAGTTGGTCATGCTCAGACCTTTTGGAAGAAAAAAACAAGTTTTCAGTATCAGAATATTCCCCAAACATGAATTTCTGTAAAAAAAAAAAATAAATCTGATTTACTGCAGCATTACATAAATTTCTCTATACCACGAACATATAATAGAAAATAATAAAAGAGTCGGAAGACAACTTCAAATTAAAAAAAAACTTGCTTCACTTTCATGGTTACAGAAGTGTAGAGCAGAAAGATGAATAATGTATTTTTTCTTTTTGAATTTTAGAAAAGAACTGTACTGTATGCACAGTACTGCACATACAGACTGACTTATTTTCCACAGTAAATCCAGGTGTACAACAAAATTCAGGTGGGTCAGTAAAGAACAGTATAAAAATACTATACCTACTGTGAATCCTACAGTATTCACTTCATGTGATTTTTCGCCTAGAATCCAATCCAGCTTTCTCATGTCTGAATTACTGACTCTACATAAAATTGTTTCAGAAAGTAAGTTTCAGTAAGATTGTATAGAAAAGGCAATCTATACAGTGTACCAAGTTCTTTGGGCTTGACACCCTGGTCTCAGCAGAGGCAGAACTGCCAAGTTTTACTGCCCTTGCCATGCACGAGTTTTCCCAAGCAATCTAAAATGAATACCTGCTTCCAGTCCCTTAGTTTTGATATTTTTCAGTCCATCGGCTGTACTGTCTGGATATTTTTAACCAGATGCAATTTTGAATTTGAATATCATAATGCATGCCAGAAACATTGAACATGTACAAAACTCAATCCTCTTCATTTATTCATTCCAAGTTGGAGGCAAAGAGGACAGATTTGGTCACTGAAAAACCTGCTGCTGTTGGTGTCACTAGAAACCACTGTTGGTGTTATCACATGACTCAAACATCAAGCATAAAAAAGAATAGTACGTGTAGATAGGCAATACTGAGAAACTGAGAATGCTGAATTCTTCAAACAACATTCCTCAAAATGACAAGCAAGCAGCATGATGACTTGGTATGTAACAAACAAAGTTTTTATGTTCCAGAATCTCTCAGTTCATTATTCCCAGAGTTTGAAAATAACATCATTGTCATAAATTATTTAGCGATAGTCCCAAAGGTCATGAGATGGATATTTGTAAACAAAAATTTAAAACAGCCTACTTTTCCACTGACCACAAATTCCAAGATAAGAACACTACCCATACAAGAAGACACTATCTCCTCAACAATTTTTTCAATATACTTTCTCCTGAAAAGGAGACCTTTGAATGTTTTTCCTCCAACTGTCAGCCAATGGTGCTTTACCTCCCACCTTTTATCCCCAAAAATTACATAAAGGCCAAAGACCTAATGGGCTTTCTGTACATCTGGCAATCGTAAGTGCACCTCGACTCGACCCAAGCAATTAATTTCCTGAGACAAGACACAAATCTACAAAAGGTAAAGCATGGCATTCAACAAACAGCAATGACAGTAGAAGATGTAGAAATAGCAACAGGGTGGAGACAGGAAGATGCTGATCACAATAGCTGAACTTCCCTCATCCGTTCTTATCTCCCATCTCTCTGAATGTTCTCTCCCTCTACTTACGCACTTAATGAATAAATAATAGTTGAATGAACTTATGTTAAAATTTCACTCCCTGTGTTCCCTTCTTCGAAAGGTTAATTACAATGAAGTGACCCATTTCACATGTGATGCACCTCCCCAGGAATATGCGTAAGTCTGTCAGGTTCCAGAAGCTCATTGCACCTAGTGACAGCGAATAGAAAATGTTACCAATAGCATATAAATAATTTTGTAAGAGTGCTGTGTGTGTGGCATTTTAAAATTTTGCATCATACTTAGGTTCTTCACTTCTTAAAATTGTAAAGTTAAAAAGGTATGGAGAGAAAGTGATCACTCCTTACTCAACCTGCAATACCATTTACTTCTTAACCCTTTGTTCATAACAAAAAAAGTACACCATTCACATCTAATGTGAACATAATATAAACTTAAATTAAACTAACAACTGATTATACTTACTCAAATATACACACTTACTAAAACAACATAAAATGCAGAAGCAAATACTTAGCAGAAAAACTTTACCTTCACATAATGTCGTACTACATAGTCCAGTTCTCCTAAAGAAGCCTTGGGTTTTAAAACATGATGGAATGCAGTAAATTCAGGAGTTCCCAATTCTCCATACAGCACTACTACAAGGCTGTCATTTTGAGAGCCAGGATAATGATGATCAATACCAAAGCTTTCAACAAGTTGTGGTCCTTGCAAACTCTGCACAGAACATGAGAAATAAATTAATGCACTAAAATTAAATTATTATTCACTCATTTCTAATGAATATTATCCTATTCAGAAATGATCTTTGGTCTTAACATCTCAAAATACACAGATGTTAACAAAATTGAATGACTAAGAAAAAATGTTCATATTTCAAAACCAAATGGGATCCAATGTTTATACTACAGCATTAAAGATCCCTATGTCCATTTTTCCTTTTATTATGTAAAGCATTGGCACAAACAATATTAACCTCCCTTACAGAATTCCCAGTCTGATAAATTACACACAACACCAAAGAGAATTTCATTATACATACTGATACCTGACTTGCAGTCACCAACAGTACTGGCAAAAATTGAATGTTAATTGAGCTGACCACTTAATCGAAGTTATGAGGTTACTGGAAGCATAAATGAAATCTGTGCTAATTGCTATGAAACAAAGTATGTTCTCCTTAACATTGTTAATTATTACAAATGACAATACAATTTAACCACGACATTTAGGATCATTTACATCCTCTCTTAGTCAATATCAAAAACCACCACCAACTTGTAACTTATTCTTTTGGTTACGAAATTCACTTTCATTTCTTGCTGAATCATATAAGGAAGATAGACATGAAAATACACTTCATATCGAGTAGGAATTTTACAGCAAGGAGCATCTGACAAAGTTGTTAGAGAATGACCTTTGAATGGGATTTGTACATGTGTTTCATTAAGAGATTTTTTTTTAAATAATCTTTTAAAAAAATCATAAATCATCATAAAAAATTATAAATATTTACATGTAGCTCATGGAAAAATTAATCAGTTCCTTAAAAAAAATTACCATTAGTGGAGGCAACCACTTAACTGAGCCATTCGAGCAGTTTTAACTGTACTTTTAAAATATATAAATGAGACGAGAAAGAAAAAATATTAAAATATTCTCTCTTTTATTAAACACGTGCAAGGAAGTTAAATTGCTTGAATTTGGGTTTATGGTGCCACTTACTGATATTTATACCTGGCAGGATGTAAGTCACCTCAAAGTGGTGCGCCAGATTATTATCGTTCTCCGAACAAGAATAGTATTAATTATACAGAAACATTTAAATTAGCACTTCAAAATTAGAACTAATTGTATACATAAAAAGCCTGTAATTATGAACAAAATAACATGGCCTTCACAACATTTATTCTGAACAGAATCACCTCACAATACTACAATTGTTTTATGATTAGAGACACTCATGACACCTGTAATGAGCAGAAAATAACATAGCCTCCTATCACTCTAGGAGAAACTATAAATTGATGATAAATGAATGAACTACTGTAACTATGACTACTAAATTATTTATTATCATATTCTTTGCCGCTCTGCTTGGTGTAAGGAAATATTTTTTATATTGCACATCTCATGTTGTTTTGTGAACTTGGTGTGATTTTGCAATGGATCATTTGAATGAGGATTTTTTTTTATAATCTGTGTAATCTAGGGGATCTGAATGTAATTCTTATGAATGTCTCATATGTAATACCGAGATCAAATTCAAAGGAATTGAGTGTCAGCAGAAGCGGATGTGCAGGAACAGAGGAGTCTATTCTCAGGTGCAAAAAAGGACTGAGGCAATGAATTCTTGTTTTTCAGAGAGTCACTCGAAAGATGAATGAAGGGTTTATCATTTTCTATTTTTGGGCTTTGAAAGAACTGTGTGAACACGTCATGAATGAAATGAAAATGTGTTCCGAAACTGTGGTTGATTGGATAAGTTTCTGTTGCATCAATGAAGGTAAGTATACATGGATGTTATTGTCAATGAAAGTGAACCACAGGGAGGAGATGGTGTTGCTGTTGAGATAGATGAAAGCATTTTGGGGAAAAGGGAGTTTCATAGAGGCAAGTATGTGAATGGTACTTTGGTGTTTAGAGGGATTGAATGGAGATCCAATCACACTTTTTCAGGGCAAGTGCAAAGAGTATATGTCAATATTTACATGATTATTCTAAGCAACAAAGTAATAACAACAGAAGCTACCAAGAATTGATCGAACTTTCTTCAATTCAATTAAAGAAATGTTTATCCAGGATGAGCAAGGTGAGTTTGAAAAAGCGAAGGAATTTTATTTCTAGAAGTGTGACATATGCGAGGGAAATTGTGGCAGGGATTCAATGGCAGCAGCCTCAAAAGTGAACTATTAAACAGTAATAAAATAGTGGTAATACTATAAACGTAGCAGTGATACATGTGAAGAAAATTTTTGTAGGCTCAAGTCTAGTATACGGTACAACCGCAGATCCGGTGGCCGAGATCGCTAAGGCAGTAGTGCCGTAGCGATCTCATACAGAAAGATCGCGGGTTCGAGTCCCGCCTCGGATATGGTAGTATTGTGTTCGTCCTTTCACTCCCTATCATCCATCATCCTCCATCTCTCATTATCGCCTTTCTGAATAACATTCAGAATTCTAACTTGAGGATTTATCCTCAACTCAAGGTGATACCTTCGACAGTCGACCATGAACAGTAAAAAGTGAAGTGGAATGACTCAAGTGGTCCAATGTGGCCAATCAAGTTATTAATAATAATAATAATAATAATAATAATAATAATAATAATAATAATAATAATACGGTACAACTTAAGGAAGTTGTTTAAACTGGCAGTTCACACCGCTCCGGCAAGGGGAAAATCCACGGTGGAAGGGATGAAGGGTGTTATGAGGAGAACCTTCCGGTGGGAAGGGGTGGTGATCAATATACATAACTTAGTACATACATATAAAAAGCAAAGCATGAACGATTTATATAAATTGTAAAGAAATACACTTCTGAAATAATTTTAATGGTTCATAATTGGTCACGAACACGACGTCAAAAGTTAAGAAAGGGGGAAATTTCACCCCAATATCTTGTCGAAACTTCATTGCGAAATGGGGTGTGGTGGGATGTAAATCATATGTCTATGTGATTTTGTGTTGGGTAGCTGTCGAAATGTTAAGCTACATTGCTGTTGTACACTTAAGTTTCTTGCGTTCTTCAGATTCTTTGGGTTTGGGTTTTTGAGTGTCAAGAGTCTATGCTACAATGATGAGAATAAATGTGTTGTTTTTTTTTGCATGTTGTGTCAAAGGGGGTGTTTGGCTTTCATTGAATTGGGTGCTAGAACCAAGTTTGATTGCTGCACGATTGCAAGTGTGCTGTGAGTAACTGACCCATGAGGTTGGCCAAGCGAAAGTTGTGTGATGGATTTGAGTGGAAGTGTAGCAAGAAAGGGGCCACTCTGCATGTGCATAAGTGTTCTGTGGGGAAGGGGCCATGGTTTCTTGAAAGTAAGTCGAGTATAATTCAGGTATTAGTAATGACTTATCATTGAGTTATTAAAATGTCAGTCAAACCGCCATAAAAATCGCCTATCGGTAAGTTTCATTTATTTCTGGCAGAGCGCTTAGCGTAATTTGAGGGAGGGCTTGAGCAGACCCCTCCTCCTCCTCCCCCTTCCTCCCAGTCACACTTCTCTAAGAGTGTACCATGTACCCTTCTTTAATCTTTTTGTAAAACAAGTGTTTGAATGCACCATGTGAATTTTGATACATTTGTACGCACTTAGTTCATCAGGATGTAGTAGTGTATCAAGAAATATTGTGTATAATGGATGGTTTATAAACACTGTTCATAGAAATAAGAATCAGTAATTCATATAAGAACCAGTTCAAAAATCAATTGTTAATTATTTTTGGCTGAAATGTAGTATACGGTACAACCTAAGCAAGTCGCTTAAATCGGCACGTTGCGCCGTTCTGGCGTTAACTAGGCAGTTAGAATTCTGGAGGCATTCTTGAAAAGTGACGTCTTATAAAAGTGAATTGGTAATTATGCATTGGATAGACTCAAGGATGTTTATAGTGAACGTGAGGGCTGAAGGCCCGAGCCTCGCTGTGACTTAGATCTGAGCGAGCGAAGCGAGAAAACTTGCATTTGACACTAAACTGGCGTTACGATGTAGGGACAAAGCATATTAAGGGCGAACCATGAAAATCGCCTATCTGTAAGTTTTATTCATTTCTATTAGAGCATGTACAGTAATTAGGACTTAAGCCTCGCTGCCACACTTCCCTAAGGGTGTACCGTATACTAAATTTTAACCTTTTTTTTCTCTCTCTCTCTCTCTCTTCATTACCTTCACATCATTTATAATTTTCTGTAAATTCTGAGCATCACATGTCAGTTTTCCCCCAACGTCAGCAGCTGCAGGGCACCCAAGAGATGGCAAGCCTCTTTCCGATGCCATCTGTGCAAACATTTCCACTTTTGGTGAATAGGTATGCAGAGATAGAGCAAGTTTGAGGACTGACAACTGTGAGGGAGGGATAAGCTCCCCTGCAACTTCCAACACTTTATCATAGCTAGCCTTTTCAGTACCTAAAACCATAAAAAATTTATTAAATTTTGAGGAACAATTAATTAATGAAAATTAACCACTTCTGTTTATCATTTTAAAATGTAAACACAATCTACCCTGCCTGTTTAACACTAGCTCAAACGCATTAACTTATATTTTCAGGTTTACAGAGATAAAAAGTTGGAAACTAAACATGTTGTTAGTTGGATATTTTTCCAGTTTTACAAGAACATTTACAGCTTTCATTCATTGTATAAAAATGTATAAACAGACCAAATAAGCAGAATTTTTTTTATATTTTGGATTTCTAATAAATTTTTAAAACTTACTTAAATCAATCAAAGGTGGTTGAAGTGCACTAATGGCATCAATGAATTCCCACAGATAGTTCCCATTTTCATCAGCTAGAAATTCAGCTACCTCAAGAACTAGTGGAGTAACTTCCCATTTAGCATCAATGAAAGTTGTGACTGATTTTGACTTTTGTTTACTTGCAGCGTCAGAAAAATATATGTTAATTAGAACACACAACAATATCACAAAATTCGCCTTCATTGTAGGCAATCAAACAACCTATTTCAAAATTAAAACAATATTATTCACTCTTCATAACTTCCGTGATGCACCATAACAACTTAGCAAACTTGGATAAGAGATCACAATTGAACACAAAAATCACAACGCTATTTATTTACATATCCATTTCCTTATGACACTTCTGTCTCTTGATTTCAAAGAATTTTCGCACTAAAACAAATATTCACGCCGGTTGAAATGTTTGAATGTTGTCTTCCATTCATGAATTATTGATTATTTTTTCGATACTCTATCGTAGTAAACATTAAATCTGTTGCATTATTATAGATGTAATTTCTGACAAAACATAAGCTTGAGATGAGCCGTATGTCATCAACAAAACACATTCAAAACACGAGTTATCACACGGCTGACGAAGTAACACGGAAACTTCAAGTATTGGCAGGGTTGGCATCTACACTTGTAGTTCCACCAATCAGCTGCGGACAAGTTGCCACTGCCATGATGTGCTTTTTGTGCCTATTCAAAAGTTACAAACTTCATACAGAAATCCCTTCCCTAATCTTGTATTTTTTTCTGAGATCTTCTCCAATAGGACTTGTGCTTTTATCCCTTCCAAAATTTTACATGATCACCAGCGGTTCTTCAAAATGAATTTAAAGAACCGATCGGAACCGATTCTATGTATCTGTGAGAGAATCGTGCAATATCGTGTTTGTTTTTATAACACTCCACCGTGATAACACGATATCTCAATGACACTGGAATATGCATTTGAATTGATTTGAATCGAAGTGAAACCAACGTAATGGCATGATATGACGGAAGAGATATTAGCTTATTATGTAATTCATTTCGCAATTCCCAAGTTAGTTGGATTTTTTGTCGGATTTTGGGACATTTAATCATCAAATTGCTAAGAATGACAGTCACTAGGCTCTTAAATGGAAAGGTGCTTTCGTACCGGTATGTAATAATTTTGCCTGAAAAGAAAAGACATTCGTAGCGAATTTTTCAATTTATTCGTAATTTATGATTGTTTTAAATTCTCAGCTAAATTGTTTTAACATGCTTGAACGATTTATCTTACAATTTTTATTTTCCTTCTTAAAGATCTGCCCAACTTGTATACCAGAGACACTATGCACAAACTGCTTCCATTCATAAAGTTCTTGTTGCAAACCGGGGAGAGATAGCATGCAGAATTATGAGAACAGCAAAGAAAATGGGAGTACAAACTGTTTCAGTATATAGTGATGCTGACAAAAATTCTATGCATGTTGCAATGGTAGGTTACACAATCCAAATCTTACTTCCAGAAATAGTAATTTTATAATTGTGTATGTAGGCACTATGTATTGAATGAAATTTTAGGCAGATGAAGCTTACAGAATAGGTCCTGCCGCTTCACAAGAAAGTTATTTGAGGCAGGACAAAATAATCAGTGTGGCTAAGAAAGCTGGTTGTCAGGCCATCCATCCTGGCTATGGATTCTTATCTGAAAACACAGAATTTGCAGAACTGTGTCAGAAAGAGGGAATTATCTTTGTCGGGCCACCTGCCAGTGCCATTCGAGATATGGGGATCAAAAGGTATTAAAAAATACAGTATTTCATAGTTGAAAAATGGTGAACTTCAATTTATTGAGATTATCTATGTGCAGAATTTGTTAATGATCGTATTTATTTTACTTTGCTTTATATCAATTCTTTATTCATCTGCTACAAGAGGGGAAAATATGATTGTTTAATTTTGAATGTTATCATTAATGGTGCAGTACTTCAAAACACATTATGTCTGCTGCGGGTGTGCCAGTCATTCAGGGATATCACGGAGATGATCAATCCTCTGATCGTCTGAAACGAGAAGCGGAACGCATAGGGTTTCCTCTCATGATAAAAGCTGTTCGAGGAGGTGGTGGCAAGGTGAGTGGAATCTTAGTTCCTGTGGTATAAAAGATGTGAAGGGATTAATCCTTATGGCAAAAGTGTGTGTAAAAGTAATATACATATTTATATTGATACTGTTTATCATGTTTGTATTATTGCTGCAAGGATTATAAGAAGACATATTTGAAAGCAATACAAGCACAGAATTCTTATTATATCTTCTTATGAAAAAACAGGTAATGAAATTTTCCAATTCACTGGAATATAAATAACTGTAGCAGATTATTGTATTAACTAGCCCTCTTGTATGCAAGATCAACTTTGCTTTCTCAACAATATTAATGTATTCAATTACTTACTGTGTTTTGAAACAGACAATCTGCTTATTCCATTATTGATAAAAAACTATCAAGACAAAGATGTAAACTTGCCACATCATTGAACGTAATTTAATAATAGACTCTCTATCTTGGAAATTAGGGGAAGGGGGTTGGAACTTCCTGTATAATGATGTAATGTATAAAAAACAATTTTTAGAGTAATACACTCTTCTGTCGCCATTTATGCCCATAATGTTAAATTTTTGTGACAATTGCTGAATATTGATCATTGAGTGGTCATGAGCAATTAAATTCCTTGTATCCGAGTGATTGTTGCTTTTCTTTGAATTGATCTGTTATGTGCGATTGTTGGATTTATTCCTTTTAGTTTCTGAATAAGTTGTAGAAGGGAGAGCTTCTGCGTAGATTAGTCACTGAAAGTCTTGTTTTTCATGTACAATTAGTTATGGACCTTTAATTCAGCCACAATAGTTATTGAACACCAGTTGGTGACATCAATAATTTCCTTTTAAAACAGTTGTGAAAGTTTATCTCTGACTTTTGTTACTTTTGCTGCCTTGCTTGCAGATTTACATCAAACTAAACACAGTGAGTGCATTTTTACAACACCAGGTGTATAGGGTTTCTTGTAATGAGTTAACTTTGCTTTGCAAATCTTCATCTATGAAAGAAATTCATTATAATCTTGATGAAGAGGATATACCCTTCAACAGTAGTACATCAGATGAAAAATACAAAAAGGAATTCTGAAGTACAATGTTATAAGTACATAAAAATAATAATTTTAAATAAAATTTAAACATTATCTCATTAAACTGTTTCACAGCCAGCCAACTCCATGTCTATTTTTTAATTGATTCTCAGTAATCAAAATTTCAACATCTGAGAGAAGAATATTTGCAATATGTGGTTGAAGGTGTCGTTTTCTCCCATACTAGTTCTATAGTACTTGAGAGCGAACAAAGCATGGTCCCTCAAGTGAAGTCTACAAGTAGTCTCAAGTGAAGTAGGTACTCTGTAAGAGATACAGGACAGCAAGCCAGGGCAATCAAACGTCACCATCCTATCAACTAAAGAACACATGTTTGTCCTCAGAAGATTGCCTTCAAAGTCATGGTCTTAGGTGGTCATTGGGGTGTCAAGCCTATAAGCCTTAGTTCTAAAGATTTTTTGTGTATCCTTTCCTGTTTATTACAACAGGGATTCCAAACTATTTTGTTATTATTCCAGAGTGGGTCTGACTAATGACTTATGAAGGAGCAAGATAGTACTAGGAATTGTAAAAGATCTTGTGTTTCTCATAGCCTTGTTAGAAGGTTTAGTAGAGAGGATATAAAAAGAAACCTTTGAATGTCTCAAAAGTGACCCCCAAACCAGTGTCATTACAAACCTTGTCAAGAATCACTACATGTATCAATTAATTAAAAGGATGACATTATGAAGCCTCCAATCATTTAATTTCAGGACTGTTGGAACAAAATTCCCATGTATTAGATCCATTACCAGTACAGACCTATTTCTTGCCCCTCCTGAACATTTTGTAAAATTTACAATATAAAATTTTAATTTGGTGGGGGCATCCCAAAATTTTCAGATAGTCTACTCAAAACCATTTGTAGATAATTTCTCCCCATCATTTGAATGCCAATTATTACTTTTTGTGACAGAATGAATTTACTGAAAGAGGAATAGAGGGCATTGAAATACTTCACAGCAGTTGATTTCAAGACTGATTTCTGAAAGACATTTCTAATGTGAAAAAATGCAATTGTCCTATGCAAGCAATGAAACAGATTTTAGTCAAATTGTAGAGTTATTGCACCTATTGTGAATGCCATGTGTGGTGCTAGCTCTCAGATTCTTGTCCATCTTGTATTCTACACCCAGGGTTGCATTTTCACAACAAACCATTTCTATGAAATAAAGAACTACTTTCAAGTAAATTAATGACCTACACTGTCAAAATGCTATGTAGAACCCACATCTGTGTAAAATTATTTGATTTAGAAAAATAATATAGTTCTGGCCTTAAATGGATTAACTAATGAGTCTGGCCTTTAACTTCTGCTCATGGACTACACATTACTAAACATTCAAGACACTTAAGATCGGTTCTCTGTTTTTTTTGGAGCGTCCTATTATTACAAATTGGGTAATATAGTTTTTCTAATTTGTTAACAAACCTATTGAAAGTGCTTTATGTATTTTCTGCAGTGTCTCATGCATGCAAAAGTGCTTAGGTCTTCTGCGATGAGCTTGAGAAGCTTATTGCCTTCTTATTTTTCTTCTTTTTTTTGTAATTTTCACGTCCTACAAGAGACACCTTATTTCTTTTTAACTGTTTTATACTTGATTTTTGACGGACAAGAGATTGATCGACTTTGGAGAATGAGATTTAAAAAATTGTGTCAAAATAAAAGCTACAACAGTGTGATTCTTTTTATATTTTACCTCTCTTTAACATTATCACACCATTTTGCGGATTGTACCTGTCAGACTTCCATTGACACTTGGCAAAAGTAACTCTTCTAAATGCAATTTTTGTCACTTTTGGTCTTCTCTTTGTTCCAGTGAAGTCCTGTGGTGCCTTCTTTTTCCATTGTCAAAGTCAACTTTCATATTATTTTGAGTACAATTCTAATAATCAACATTTATTACAGGGTATGAGAATCGCTATGACAGCATCTGAGTTTGAGACACAATTGGAGAGTGCTCGCCGAGAAGCTCTCAAGGCCTTTGGGGACCAGGCCATGCTGCTGGAGACTTTCGTGCAGGAACCTAGACATGTGGAGGTTCAAGTGTTTGGAGACCTTCATGGCAATTATGTACACTTATTTGAACGAGATTGTAGTGTGCAACGTCGACACCAGAAGATCATTGAAGAGGCTCCTGCTGTGAGGTTTTTTATTTTTATTCTTTCACTAAATATTTTGCATTTTTATACAAAAAGTTACAAGTTCTTATTGAACACAGATAAATCTTCAAATTGAAGTTATTCTCTCTTGAAATACACAATAAACACACAAATATCCTTGTTTTTAAGACAATCAAAGGTAATTTATAAAGTGTATTTACAGTATGGCATTTATTGTGAGGTTTCACACATCATGAGGTGTTTACATTTTCATCTGAAATTAAAAATTTCTTCTTCTTTTTTTCTTTCTTTCTTTTTTTTTACTACAAAAGATAGACGATGAAAATCTTCAAAGTTTGGGTTTAAGTGAAAAATGTAAGTAATAAGTTCAAAATTTAAATGGTAAAGAACTTACCAAAACATCTTTAATCAGGCACATATCTTATAGTAAAAACATATGAAAATGTTTTTTCATATGAGGGACATTCAATAATGAAAAGACAAATTGATGTGAAGAAATAAACATTTATTTTTGCAAAACAGGAATTTTCCTACTTTCCAATATAATCCCCACCAACATTTACACACGTGTCCCAACGGGTTACTAGCTTTTTTATACCAGCTACAAAGAAATCTTTGTCGTGGTGTTTGAACTAATTTCCCACAATATTTTTGACATCTTTGTTGTGCTGGAACTTCTTCCCACATAATGACTCCTACAGGGGACCAAAGAAATGGAAATCAGATGGTACTAAATCAGGGCTATAAGGGGGATGAAGCAGAACCTCCTAACACATTTTGCCGATGGTTTCATGAGTTTGTTTAGCAGTGTGGGGATGTGCATTTTCTTACTGGAGAATCACACTTTTCCCCTGTTATTCACAACATTTCTCTCTCATTTCTTGCAAAAAAAACGCATGTACAGTGTCCCAAAACACCATCAACATGGCTTGCTGATACCGCTAGAACAGCGTTCGTCAATCACAAAGTCTCGCCCACTTTTGAACCTTTACCCACTTGACAATATTCCTGTGGTTCTTACAACTTTTACCATACACTTTAGTAATTCTAGAGTATATATTAGCTGTTTTTTCTCTTTCAGCAAGTAATAAGCGAATCACAACCAAAGCGGAATTTTCAAGTTGACTCGCCATCATTCAACTTAATTTTGAAGCTATGAACACAACAATGCTGATCCTCCAGATGGTCAGGGCTTATCCCTGTGATGCCAACTTAAAGCCCTAAAATTACCAAACCTTTACTACCAACTGCTTTTTATCCAGGCCCATTTGTCTCTTTAATTATTGAAGGACCTTCGTATAAAAGATTTTTTTAACAAATAATGATATAATACAGAATGGGAAAAGTTCCCGTTGTAGGATTCTCATCCTCACTGTACAGAGAGAGAGGGGGGAGAGGGAGGGTGAGAGAGAGCAAGGGAGGGACAGAGAGAGAGAGAGAGAGCATGCACGCTATCCAACTTGAAAAATTTATGCTCTTATTTTGAGTGTGAAAACCAGTAAAACGCGAGTGGTTGAAGGGGGAAAAGAACAGCTCTAAACAAAATGCATAGATAAAAGTGTAAAAGCAAGACAAACATAAAATATATAAATTTTATTCTATTTTAATTTAAAAAGAATATTGTCATGGAATTTTTTGTCGCAAAATTTGGAGAAAATGTTCTTTGGGTGTTTCTGAAAATGCATATTTTTATGCTCTTTTTCACCCAAAACTGAAGTTATTCTAAGTATTTGTAGTCACAAATACAATAATGTATATAAATCACTGGTAGTGTAAATATTAACAGCATAAGAGAAAGTAAAAATAAGTGCTTTGTGTAATTTTTGTAAAAACTAAAGAATACATCAAAGTTGCATTGATGTGTTTGTTCAGTTCATTTAACACTATCTGTTCAAAAAATGTGGAGCCATTTTTGAAAATGGTATTGGAGTGTTTATGAAATGTGAAATTTGGAGCTCATTTTCACAGAAAACTTTTGAGTTTTTGAGAAACTTTATTAGACATTATTTGAAGCACATGTACTCATAAATACAATAAGATATACTAAACAGAAGTAAAAAAAATAATTCGTATAATTTAAAAACAACAACAATAGAATACATCAATATCTCATTTATATCATCCTATACAGTACATTCAACACATTTTGAGAAATTCTTGTTTTTGATGTTTTTTAACATTGCAAATTTCACCTTTGTTTTGTGTAAAGTTCCTCCAATTTTAAAGATTGTTTTTCGTAATTGCATAGTTTTGAGAGAGACTAGATCAACTACGGAGTATTCGGTTGGGAAAAAATCCTAGTTTAGGCTCTGGTGTTGTTTGCAGAGGAGAGTGAGACGGACAGAAGTTTTGAAAAAAACACTTTTTTTATCAGTGGATCCCAAAACATATATTTCCGTTGAAATCGATTTTCCACAGCGTCACATAACTTTCTCTATACTACATATGTATATGAGAAATTTAAAAAAAGGGAAAAAAATGTACTTCAGTTGAGTGGTCTCCCTTAGATAAGGGCCAAATAATCCTTGTTGTAGGTATGTTTGTATATTTAGTTGTAAACATGAGTAATTTTGTTACAATTTGTGAGGGCTGGTTGTTGGTTGCAGCCTGGATTGTCAGCTGCTTTGCGGGAGGAACTAGGGCAGGCAGCTGTCAGGGCAGCACAAGCCGTTGGGTATGTAGGTGCGGGCACTGTAGAATTTATTTTGGATCGGAGAACTCATGCTTTCCACTTTATGGAAATGAACACCCGTCTTCAGGTGGAACACCCAATCACAGAGATGGTAACTGGAACAGATCTTGTGCAGTGGCAACTTCAGGTACATTTATAATTCTTATTAGAAAACAACTCAAGTTTTAAGTCAGTTTACATTTTTGTAACTTTGCATGTTTTGTACAAAAGTATTTATACCATAATTAAGAGCCTTATTCATTTAGGAAAACAGTTGGTTTAGGAGAACCCTAATCCAGATCATGTCTGAACACTACATGTCTTAATGACAGTGACCAATATCAGTAGATTTGAGAATCAGTGGTTAGAGGTAATCAAATACACAATTGAATGTTATTTGTATGCAAAAAAATTCTTCAAGAACATAAGAAATATAATTGATATCTCCTGTAACAGTTATGGTTACCAGTATTCTCCACAGGGTCAAAAATAACCTATTTGGTGAGCAAAGTCAACATTTCAAGAACTCTTGAAATTCACACAGATTTGGTTACTCAACTACAGGATCAATACAGAAAAACATTATGTGGTGACATTACAACTTTGACGATTGAAAGAATCTTCACTTCCAAAGAAAAGCTCCCATATAAAATTTTTCCTTTCTCAAACTTCAGATTTCTTGAGATAAATTTTGTCAACTTTTCCAAAGGAGAATTGGAATTATTGTTCTTGATTTTTTTTATTGCCTTTGAATCTTATGTTCCAAATAGTGTTTTAGTCTGTATAAATTAATGAAGCAATTTCAAGATCTTTTTTCTCAAAGCTAATATCTAATGCTGAGTAGTGAAGATGAGAATTGAATGTTTTTGCCTTTGTTAGATACCTCAAAAGCATATTCTGATTAATCCTTACACTAAAAACTCAGGCACTTGGAAGGTATCCAAAGTTTTTGTAAGTTTTTGCAAACTCCAATTACTGTAAACGACATGTTATAGAAAAATCCAATAACTGACATGATTGAGTTTTTAAATTGTGTGGCTGTAATGATGTTAATGTTTTGTTATCACTCCATTAGTTCACAAGTGCTCAGCAAGTGAACTTAGATGAAAAGGGAATGAATATGAGTGCTAACGGTTAAATATTCTAGCCCAACAAAAGTAGCACAAAGCAACAGTCTCAATATGGAGCTAAGGAAACTTCTGAATCTTAGAAGATATAGTATCATTGTAAACGAAAACTAGAAAAACCATGTTTTCTGCAGGAGTTAACATTTCTCTTTCTCTTTGCAATTATCCCATGATTTTGTAACAAATTCTGTACCAGTTGTATTGCCAGTTATTCACATTACAGAATTACTTTAAGAAAAAATTACAAGTACAAGAAATGTAATGTGAACAAACCTATTCTAAATATGTTTGCTGTAACTAAAGAAGTAAATAAATGCATGGTTGCTAATTTGGCAGGTTGCTGCTGGAGAGCCTTTGCCATTGTCTCAGTCAGACATCTGTCTTAATGGCCATGCATTTGAGGCTCGGATCTATGCTGAAAACCCAGTCAGAGGTTTCCTTCCAGGGGCTGGACCTCTTCAATATTTGAGCACTCCTAGTGCTGCACAAGATGTGCGCGTTGAAACGGGTGAGTTAATGTCAGGATCAGATTACCCTTTATACTCCTAATTCTTCAGACACTGTGTCCTTGTCAGCTCTTCATTAAAATCCCATTGACTCTAAGAGGGAGCTTGCGCAATCATCGGCGATTTCTAGGAGAAATTGAGAAACCATGGAAACAAGTTTGGTTTATATCACTACAGTTAATATTTTAATAAACTGTCTTACAAATTGAAACAACATAACAAAAAACATGAGAAGTTTTCACGTTCAATGTTCTTTGTCAGATGGTGCCTTTTGTTTTTGACAAAATTTCTTAAAAATGAACTGAAAATTGAACTCTGGTTTCCTACTTGACGAGTTGTACTATGGCTATTGAGCTATCATAATGAGATTCATACGCTATCCATTTAGTTTATATTACCAGTTTAACATATTAGTAACCTAAAAAGCAAACAATATGAAATTATACAAAAATGGGCATGATGGACATCAGTGAATTGTTTACTTCACAGTGTGAACTTTAGTTCACATTGTGTGCATCCTCTTGAAATTCAAACGAATTTGGAGCTCAGAAAAGAAAGAAAATTATTTGTCAAGCAGGACTTGATAATGGTGGAGAAAACCCATATTGTTAAGTGAAGACCCATTCAACCTAGGAACATGAAGGGCTAATATCATGAGGGGCCCTGCGGGATCCCCTGATTGTATGGAAATATTAAACATGAGTAATAAAAAAAAATAAATAAATAAACTGCAACCTCAACAACAATTTATCATACATATACATATATACATTTTGTTTACAAAATACTTTGGAGCTTGTAGGTCCTTAGTTTCTGTATGCATTAATCCATTCCAATCCAATAATTCCAATCCTGGAATCAGTATTGAAAATCATAATTACAAGAAGTTTATTGAGCATGTGTTACACCTAAACAAATGACTAATTGCGAAAATGTCAATGAATTGAATTGATGCCAATATTTTACATGGTGAGACTCCAGACCCGCCTCTTCTGTCTGACCACACAAATTTTGCTACGCTCTTTTCACCAAACTAGCAAGAGAAAGGTTGTATTTCATGGGCGACGAAATAGGCGATTTGAATTTTGCTCAGAGGCATCATTTAGGCTTGAGGATCTTTTACATGCAAGTAAATCTACCAACATGGACAGCTGGCTTTACTCCCCTCTGAAGGAGGGTATAAACGTTTTTTTCGCCTTTAAAAAATCCACAGCTTCAATTGGGTCTGAACCTGCTAACTTGGGTATAACAGTCTGATACACTAACCATTACACAACCGCTGCCACAAAGAGCTTGAGGTTACCAGCTTGCATGTACTTTGCTGCTATATTTAATTTGATCTCCTTGTTGCCAACATTGCCAATTTCCTTGCATTTCAATTTCTTTCTTGTTGCCAATGTGCAGAGAGATTAAACTTTAACTAAGACTAATAATTGTTGAAATAAATCTTGAAAAAGTTACTAAAAAGGTTTTAAGAGGTGTATTAAATTAATAGTTTTCATATTACACTGTTCATATGAATTTAATAACAAGTGAATCTATATGAAGTATTATTTTGTTCAGGTGTCCGTCAAGGAGATGAAGTGTCTGTGCACTATGATCCAATGATTGCTAAGTTGGTGGTTTGGGGAGACACTCGACAAGCTGCTCTGCTGAAAATGAAAGCTCGCTTATCTGAGTATAATGTGAGATCATTTGATATATTTTGTACTTTATAAACTTTATCCTTTAATAACCATTAATAATTTTGTTTTTGTTAGCAGTACAAACAACAATTTTACTCTCTAATTAATTAACAAAATTAAATTTACTGCTGAAAATTTTATCTCGCTGCTAATGCAATTTATTTATGAAAAAATGAGTCAACTTGTTTATATCTTCTTGACAACAATTTAGACCTTTTCCATTTGAGCATAAATGCAAATATTTGAACTTTTGTTTTGAGTGTTTTATGTTTGTTACAGGCAAAACATTCGAATTATTTGTAAATTGTGCTTTCGATAGTTATGTCCAAAAATGTATGATTAACTTCTTAAGTGCATGTGTGTGTTAATAGATTGTTGGTTTGGACACAAATGTGGATTTCCTTATCCGTCTTTGTGGGAATCCTGAATTTGCTGCTGGTAATGTGCATACTGGCTTCATCACAGAGCATGAAAAATTGCTTTTGGCTCCTCGTCAGGCTTCTTCAGAGTTAGTTGCACAGGTGAGAAGTGTGTTTTCCCTCAGGGAATATCTGTTCTTTAAGCCACAGCTAGGTTATGTAGATGATGGTGTCGATTTAAAATAAGAATACTGTTACATTGTTCATGTTACCTTTTAGAATTCACCCTTAAATTTCTGATATTTCAGCCTAAGTTTTGAATGCATGAGCTATATAAATCTATTGATAAAACACAATATCCATGATGAAATTTATGTTCTGTTCATAAACCTTGAATATTTTAAATGTATGCATGATTTTTACTCAACAAAAACGATCTCCCTTTATTTTAGGCTGTTGTGGCCAAAATACTTTCTGAAAAATTGTTAGCAGAAAGATCTGCTAAAACAAGTTTTAATGCATATTCAATTGGTTTTGGCTTTCGGGTCAATCATGAATTGGTGCGACCTCTGACATTATTATATGATGGGGAAGGTAAGATGTATTCATTCTGTATGCAGTTCGGTAATTTCAGCATTATAAAATGATATGAAAATTATAATATGATAAAAAAATGTTTTTAATATCAGTGTACTTTTAAACTAATGTTTGTACTTTTATTCTGAATTAACCATTTTGTAAATATTTTTTGTATACTGTCTCTGAACAAGAATAGAAAAATAGAATAGTATGTATTTGACAGTAGATTAGATGGAACCTCGAAATGACAGGAATTTAAACATTGGAAATCAGAAATTTTCCAATACATTTTTTGTGAATGTTCTGGTGGAAGACCTAAAGTCAGTTATCAAATTGTATGGAAATCGTTAAGGTTGAGTAGTTTATTATTCATTTGCAGTTGTACACGATTTCCAAATTTATGCTGTTTTTTCTTACCTAGAGATAGCAGTTGAAGTTACATATTGCAAAGGAAATCAGTTCAAAATGAAGATTGGTAGCAAAGAGATCAGTGCATCAGGATCTCTTTTCAAGAAAGAAGATGGAAGTTTTGAACTTCTATGCTCTGTGGAAGATCTCGCACTACAGAGTAAAGTGGTGCTGAAAGATGGATGTATTAATTTGTTCACCAAAGTAAGATTTTTGTAATTTGGAGGGTTGTAGTTATGGGAAGTTCAAGAAACGCCCTGAGATGTGACTGATTTGGTTTGGTCCATCTGTGAAAAACGCTGACCAGAGGCAGAATTTTCATCAAAAGTGACGTTTCCCAGTCGATCTTACTGATGTTGCGCCCTCTTGATTGTACTTTACGGAAAGCATCAAGGACATTTTCATATTTCTCTCAACACTTGCTCCAAATTTTTCTATGAAACTGGATAGCATAAAAACTGGTGCAAGTCACAGTTTTGTTGAAGTATCTGAATTTTTGAAAATTTCTAAATTATTATGGTGGCTTCCCACAACTACAGTAGTGAGTTTTTGTTTGTTTGTTTTCTTTCTTTTTTTTCTTCCAAAAATATGAAAATTTTGTGTAATTTTGAGTGACATGTGGGCAATATTTAAAAATTTGAAAAACAAGGTTTCAAAAATGTCTGGAGATTATTTTCTTCACTCTTTTTGTGAGAATAGTGCAAGTTTCTTTAAATATCATTAATATTTACATTTACATTTTTGGGGGGATAATGATTTTCTTTTTAACTAGAATATTGGGCTAGTTTGAACCAAAGTGATTTTTGTTTCTAAAATGAATCAACAAGTTTCATGATGTTAAAGGTGGTGACAGATCCTGTTTGGTTCAGTAATAGTAGGTACCCAGGGTACCTCAACTCTTGCTCACAGCTAGCACGAAGTTTAGGAGAAAAGGTTTTTCTAAAGAACATTGGGCAATTTTATGATACAAATGCTGCAGTTGCAATGAATAGACATATAATATTATTCATCGTGTACGCGGAAGGAATATTCAAATTATGTTATGACTAATTTAGTATTAGCAATTTTGTGTTGTTACTATTCACATAAAGAATGAGCTGATGTGGGAGAATTTCACTGTTTTAAAAGATCTGTTCTTTATTGGATGTGTTCATGATCTTCTACATATGTGTTGCACTTGCCTTAAATCAAAAAGACTCTGCCTGACTTTATACAAAAGTGTGTTATATGCAAGTAAAGACATTGAGGGGGAAGGAAATCAGGGGGAACAAAGGCTAGTGTCACAAAGATGGGAAGAAGCAACTCACCTAAAATATTTTCTTCTGCAGTTTTGTTTTGTAGTTTTATATTACAGGAATTTTGTAAATTTCAATTTTGCAAATAATTACAGGATGGTAGTTGGCAGTTCAGTGAACCAGAACCTAAGTACTTGAAAGAATTGCATGACATGTCTGGATCAGAGGGAATGTCAGGTAATGGTGCTGTGTCTCCCATGCCAGGAATAGTCGATAAGATTCTAGTGCAAGAAAATCAGGAAGTTAAGGCAGGAGACCCTCTTGTTGTGGTTATTGCCATGAAAATGGAGGTGAGAATTTCAAATGCTTTGAAGAGAATTTGTGATCGGTATCTTTCCTAGATATGTCTTAAGAGCATTTGAAGTAATTTTATCCATATTTAGTTTGTGACTTTTGGAAGTTAACTCTGGAAAGGATTACATATTATAAAAATATAGTTCTGTGAAAAATTCCGAATTAAAATTTTACTTACCAGAAGTAAATACTGTTTACTGACTTTCAATGGGCATCCAAACATTTTGTTTATTAAAATATTTGTTTCTGAATTTTTGGTGTGCAATATTGTGTTTATGATCATTTATTTAAAAATGAATATGAATGAAACATAATAATAGTTTCAATTTCGAATGAACATTTTTTCTCATGCTCAGTTAATGAATTGTTTTTATGTTGCAGTATGTGGTGAAAGCTCCCCATGATGGAATTATCAACAACATTCTTTGCAACGTGGGGCAAAGCGTGGCCAAAGGAACAACTTTAATCAAATTTTTGGAACAGCAGGCTTCTTAGGAAATTTCATTTTGAATATGGTTCTAAGAAGCAGAAATTCTCCTGCGTATAGCTTCTTTTTAACTTAATCAAAATAATTGTCATATTGAATCTCACATTCCAATTAAGATAAGGATCATAAGATTGGATTTTCCTCATTTACGAATTTTTGTTACAATTTTCTTCACTTCAAGTCTTATTGCTTTAGAAGGTTGAAAGTAAAGTATCTACTTATGAGGGTTTTTTGTAATGTTACGTGTTTGTAGGTTAGCAGCACTCATTCTGCTGCATGTTGCGTGGGTGATTTAATGATTGGTGTGTTTTAGTAGCAGAATGAATGGAGATGATTTTTCTGAACTGAAAAGTTAGTGAATTGTTCAGTGCATTTATGTTAAGCAGCAGAGAAAATTGTTAGAGGTTATTGGAGGGTTTTAAATGTTCTATTCCAAACTGTCTACATTTACATGTGTATTGAACATTTTTGTGATTCTTTACTTACTCTGCCATATCATCTCATTCGCATTTTGATCACTTTTCAAGCTTAGTTATCTATTTCCAGAGCTGTAGTAATTGTAATGATACTTATGTATTACACAGGAATAGATATTCATTATAATAATTTACCTACAACTTATTTGCCAAAATTACTTTCTAGTTTAAGTTGAAGATATTAGTTTGTTTGAACATAATCCTGAGAAAATGCTCATATTTTGTTAGCATTGTAGGTCTTCTCCCATCTCTTTAAAAAGTTAAAAAGATAAATGTGAAACCACCAAGCAATGTACTTTAATTGATAGTATTTGATTTCACTTACCTCATTTGCTCTTGCTCCTGGAAAATTACAAGTTCATTTTAATATTTCATAAATATTAAATGGCATTTAAGTGTGCAATTTACAATAGTTCCTGAAATTGTTAAAATGTTAAGTTGTTTTAGAAGGTATGTTCTGTTATGTTTTATATTTGACTGTGCCATTTACATTTGTTATATAGTGTGAATCATTTATCACACAATCTTTCCAGTCTTGGCAACCATGCTACATGCTCCAATGGCAAAAAGAATCAGGAAAATATTTCATTGGGTTGCTGAGGGACAGCACAGATAATGGCTAATGCTTTAAACATCAACTAACATCTTGCTAGTTAGTCTAAAGAGATTCAGAAGCATATTGTACACTTTCATTCATAACTTGTTTCCCAAGATGTAAGAACATACCTCTTTTGTAATTGATATACATGAAGATATTTATCCTCTAACATTTTTAAATCAGTCATTTTCATTTGATAGCTGAGAAGCTTTTTATTTTGAGGCTTCCAATAAATGAGTAGGGCAGCTTCTACCATTTATGCATGTGGCTAGATATGCCTGTTTTGTCTGGGTTGCAAGATAAATGGTTCACTCTGTATAACCACTTATTTAGGAATACTTAGTGATAAAGGTTCAACATTTTATTTTGATAAGAAATTTCGTAAATGTTTTGTATACAAAAACAAAAGATAATAAAACAAAGTATGATGTTTGTATTCCATGTCATTATTATATACATTTTCTCCAGATATTTTACTTTCTCCACTACTGCTGTCACAATATAGAAAAAATGATTCCTATGTGTGGAAAATTACTTCCTCTAACGTGTAGTCAGAATCCGCATTTGGTAAGTCCTTGATACCAAAATGTGATGGCAGCAAAACCATATGCAGGATTTTCATCATAATTGATATCCCCTGATCAATCACACTGACGTAACAGCCTCTGAAATTTTAAACGGATATTTTGATTTTGATGAGTTGCATTACATGAAGCCTTCAAATTTTCAAAATTTTCTGCAAAATTGTTGTTTCCCATGTTTTCATCTGATAGAGCAAAAGATGTTTAAAGAAATGACATAAGATGTATTTTTGGTGAAAAATCCCAATTTTTTTGAAATTAAAAAAGTTAAGAATTTTTCCAGTCTTCCAACAACTATCATATTGAAGACAGGCATTTTTTCTTCTCTGTATATGTACGTACATACAGAATATTATTCATAGTATAGGGAAAGCTATATAATGCTGCGGAAAATTGATTTTGAGATTTCAGCCAAAATGCAGGTTTTGGGGCCTCTGATATCCCAAGGGTTATTTTTTTTTTTCTTTTCTTTCTTTCTTCCAAAACGTCTGTCTGTAAACACCACTAGCACCTAAACAATACTTAGAATTTTTTTCCAATTTGAAGAAACCCCCATCCATCTGGCTTTAGTCAAAGCTTTGAAATTTTGAAAAATAATTCTTTAAAATTTGGGGGTACTTTAGATGAAGATCCCCGGGCATATTTCAAATTTTCTCAAAAATGACTCCAAATTTTTCTTTAAATTTCTTGTAAGTATAGAGTAAAATACAATTATAAAGGTGGCATAGATTCAATTTCTGTGATTAACTCTGTATTTTCCAATATTTTTTGAGCATCTTCCAACAACTACAAAACTGAAGATAAAGATTTTCCCTTGAAATGAAATTTGTTCTCCATAATTGATTAGTTCAAGAAGGTCATATGTATCTTTTTTGAAAATTTGAGTAGTTTTTTCACAATATGTGCAATATTAAACACTAACTAAAACAAGATTTTCTCAAAAACAGCTCCAAGAATAAATTTAATAGGGATAGAGATAAATATACTCAGAAAGATTACTCAATTATTTTTTTTTAATATCTCTCATGCCATTGAAGTGCACATTTCCAGTGATTTGTATCCATTATTGAATTGAGTGAAAGTGCTTAAAATGACTTACAAAGTTATTCAAAAACAAAAAATTTCTATGAAAAAGCTTCAAATTTCACATTTACAGTAACACATAAATGTCATTTTCTTCAAAAATAGCTCCAAATTTTAAATCAAAATTTCCATTTAGAACAAGGTTTTCCTCTTCCTTAACATTCTTAAAGTAATATATCAATTCTACCATTAGAAACCGAAAAATTGAGAAAATTTTGAAAAAAAAGTTCTCTGTGCAGCGATAGATTGCAGCTGACAAGATGATGAGGCATGACCGAAGAGCAATCCCAGACCAAAAGAAATTATATAACTGAAAAAACTGAAAGTCTGTGCCTTTCTGTAGCAACGTTCCACTAGTTCTTAAACTAAATCTGTTCATCAAAAATAGATCTTCAAATAAGATAATGTTGAATTTTCTAAAAATGAGTGGTTTTTACCTGAACACACACAATTGTTGAGGCAAAGAAGGATAAAGAAAGTGGTGCTCTCTGTATTTTCCAAAATTGTAAATAACAGAAAATTAACATTGCAAAAGTAGAATACAATGATAACACATTTTTTTTTAAATAAAATGTCTTAAAAAAGTAAGTTCTTTAAAAATGTCTGTACAAAAAAAAAAAAAAAAGTAGTTTGGCATAATTTTGCAAATTTCCAAAATTGCAGAATTGAATTTCCAGCACTTCTGATAGAAACTTTGAGGCTTCATCACATTGCTTTGCAACAATTAGAATGCTGCGACAGAATAACTTCTTGTTGGGCAAAGTGAATCGCACAGTTGTTAGAATAATGATGCATTTGCTTATATTTTCATACATAATGTACTATTATAGGTAATGAGTTTTTCAAAAGATGGCTAAAATGTGTTAATATGAACAGATATTGCAGTATTATAATTTTATGAAATCATTAGTGAGAGGAGAAAGTACATTCCATTGTTGCTCCGCTACTTTGTTTCTGATGTTTTGAGTTTCAATTCCTTCAAAAGATAATAAATCCTTTATTGTACCGTAAAGTAAATTTAAATGCATCAGATGTAAAATAATTTTCTAAGACTTAAAGTACATTATGTTTTTACTTCATAAATTTCTGTGTTAAATTCAACTTGTAAATGGACAGCTCAAAAAAATCTTATGTCTCCTAAAAGGAATGGAGAATGTTACAACAAGAAGTCAAGAAAGTGGTCCACAAAACATGTTTCAACAAGAAATAAAGACATTTTTGGTTTATTTAACTAAATATGCTAATTAATCCATGAAAAATCATTTCTTATCTTTCTGTCATACCATGTGAGCCAATCAAAACTACCAATGAAAATTCAGAAAAGAATTAAAATGTTTAATTAAGACACCATAACACAGTGAACAACGTATTTCCAGATGGGCATGAACATGACAATAATGTACCTCACAGATTACAAAACTGCATTAACTACATATATGAAAACAATAAATGAATGTAACTAAATTGGTAAGTATATTTAAGCTAAGCTGACTAATGGAACAACATAAAATATCGTCATCATGAACTGACCGTAAATTAGGCTTTAATAGCCTGTTTCTATGTTTATTATAGTATTTTTAGTTAGACTTATTGTCTTCAAGTGTTCCTGCTGTTGGTACCTATAGTTGTTGCTCTATCTCTGATTCTTTTGGTTTGTACTTCCAGATTAATTTGGAATCGGTGTTCATTCTCTGTAATGATCTTTCCATCTCCTTTGAGACTGTTCTATATCTTCTACTAAAACATTTGGTTTTCAATTTCTGCTGATGTCTTTATTCTCAGTCTATCTCTTCTTGTGATTCCCATTAAATGTCTTAGAATCTCATTGAGCCACCTGTAATTTTGACTCTCTCTTTCATTACCCACTGTTTCAAAGCCATATCATGATTCTATGTTGAACAGCCTATATTACGGAGTTTCAGTTTTGTTTCCAAGTCCATGTCTCTGCCAGCGTCTCTTAATTATTCCACATATTTTATTGTTTTGCCAGAAAAACATTTGGTCTTAGCATCATTACAAGTGTAAAAGCCAAATGTGTTTATCTGTTCTAAAAAGTTTGCCAGCAAAACTGTGACAGAAGTGATCTTTTTTACCTTTCCAATCTTTATACAAGTTGTATTTTCTCTCACCAGTCTAAGCTTTTCCTGGGAAATATTGTTTTAATGGCTTTGTCAGCTTCATCTAATATTTCATCTTGAATAAGTTTGTTTGTCTCCCATAAGTCACATTTCTTTATCCTGTAAGTCACTATAGTGATCAAAGGTACACAATACATGACCCACTAAAATAGGCCTTTTTCAGAAGCAACATGTGTCATCAAATGTATGTCTTAAATGATAAAGATGTGCTTGAATTTCTCAAAATTTAAATTATTTTAAAATGAAAAAGAAAAAATATTGAACTTAACATATGGATAAAAGGGTATAAGTGCACTTATTGTAAATAAGAAAAACTTGTTTCAATCATGGCTAGTTTTCTTGAATGTATCACTCATGCCCCTTTTTATCCACTTGTTTCATTAATCACTATAATACCAAACCTCTAAAGGAGATTAACAAAAAAAATTGGGATCACTATGAAATATAAAGGACGAAAAGGAACAGATGAAACCTTTATCCAGTTATAGGAGATGTTTCAGAAAAAACTACTTTCTTCATACAGTGAAGGTCCTCCGATATTAAACTGTTTATGAATTAATTTAACTACAATTTGAAAAGGAAAATTCAAATTCATTAGAATATTTCTAACACTTTAGAGTAGTTTCTTGATTGTCTGTTCACATAGTTATTGATTTTAAGTATCCTTGGTATTATAGACAATCGTAGATAAAAATAGAAATTAATAAAAGGCAGATGAGCACAGGTTATAATAAAAAGCACATATATTTATGTTTCATTCTAGAACTGTGGTACAAACTGCAGTAGTACAGTTCTAGAATGTAAGAAATATATGTGCTTTTTATTACAACTTGTGTTCATCTGCCTTTTATTAATTTCTGTTTTTATATATGATTGTCTATAATACCAAGGATACTAAAATCAATAAATATTTCTAACAATTGAAAATTAGTATAAACAAAAATTCCCACATTGACCTGGAATGAAAATAGCAAAATTATATTTGAAGATATTCGGGGAATAAAAATAAGAACATAATTACAACATAATTATGTGCACAAGACATGAGACAATAGCTGAAATAAAACAAAAAATGCAAGAGAAAAATATATTATTAAACACATTTATGAAAGGGAGAAATACAAAACATCAACTTAGGATGAAGCCACCTTAGAGAAATTCAAACTAGAATCATTAGGTATGTTTTATGTTTTGAGAACATGGGATGGATAAAAGTGAGTTCTGACAATTTACTAAAATTATGAGATAAAAATAAAAGATGAACCTTCATATATCGTTAAAAACATCACTTTATTGGGTAAATTCAACCACAATTTAAAATCACCAGTGGTCATTACATGTTACAAGTATGTACCATAGTTAAGGCATTCAGAGATAGTGC